GTTTACCATTGTGAGACTTTTTTAAATCCTATTTTTTGGGGATCCCTGAATGGCTCAGAAGTTTAACACCTGCCTTCAGCCTAGGGCATGATCCTGGAGTCCCAGGATTGAGTCCCACATCAGGCACCCTGCATGGAGCCTGCTTCTCTCCTTCTGCCTGTGTTTCTGCCTCTCTCTCTGTGTCTTTCATGAATAAATAAATAAAATCTTTAAAAAGAAAAATCCTGTTTTTCTTGTTCATCATCATAGGTTCTGCATCTAGCCTTCCATGTATTACATATATGTCATCAATGTCACATAAAATTAAACCATTCAATGTTTTAGCACATTGTGAAAAACAGTAACATTTTAAGATGTGATTTTAGGGGCAACTGGGTGGCTTAGTCAGTTAAGCATTGCCTTTGACTCATGTCGTGATCCCAGGGTCCTGGGATCCAGCCTCACATCAGGCTCCCTGTTCAGTGGAGAGCCTACTTCTCCCTCTCCCTCTGCTGCTCCCCCTGCTTATGCTCTCTCTCTCTGTTAAATAAATAAAACCTTTTAAAAATAAAAATAATAAAATGTAATTTTAAAGTTGATCATGGGGGATCCCTGGGTGGCTCAGCAGTTTAGCACCTGCCTTTGGCCCAGGGCGTGATCCTGGAGTCCCGGGATCGAGTCCCACATCGGGCTCCCAGCAGGGAGCCTGCTTCTCACCTCCTCCTGTGTCTCTGCCTCTCTCTCTCTCCCTCTCTCTCTCTCTCTATGTCTATCATAAATAAATAAATTTTAAAAATAAAAAAATAAAGTTGATCATGAAACTTCTCTTCCATTACTAAAACAAAATATTATACACACATACATTTATACATAAAATGTAAGTGAATGTTAAGACATAAAGCTAAGCAATGGGCCTTTTGACATTCAGAAATGATAAAATTCATTGCAAACCTTTAATTATTTAGATGTCCAGCTATATAATTATCTAAGCCTTTAATTTGAGAAGGAGCCTGTCTAGAGCAAATTACAGTTGTCAAACCACACTTTAATAAGATTTCATCAAGTCACATGATGACACAGTATTTTTCAGAATGTGCTAATTACCAGTATGCAAGAACTGTGGAACAATTTTCATTTGAGCTTTTTGCAGAAGTCTGTGTGCTAGTCAGAGGTCATTTGGAAAAGCAAAGCATGAAAAATTTAACAGTAAAAACTTTTCAATGAAGGAATTATGCTGAGTGACATAAGTCAATTGGAGAAAGATAATCATCTTATGGTTTCACTCATATGTGGAATATAAGAAATAGTGAGAGGGACCAAAAGGGAAAGGAGAGAACCTGAGTGGGGAAAAATGAGAGAGGAAGGCAAACCATGAGAGACTCCTGACTCTAGGAAACAAACATAGGGTTGCAGAAGGGGAGGTGGAGGGGGGATGGGGTAACTGGGTGACAGGCACTAAGGAGGGCACTTGATGGGATGAACATTGGGTGTTATGCTGTATGTTGGTAAACTGAATTTAAATAAAATATTTTTAAAAAACTTTTCAATGATTTAAGGTACATGGTGCCTGGAATTCATTGAGAAACATTTGGGAGGTGTTGAGAGGAGGCTGAAAGCCCTGATTGACCCTCACCAAGCAGGTGCCCCAGGGGGAAAGGTCAAATACAACCTAAGAACTTTTACTGAATTCTTTTATCTTCATATGCTGCAGGAAAACTCAGAAGGGCTGACTTTTAAAGCCCAAACATTCCTTTATTCCAGCAGGTAAGGACCAGTCCAGGGTGGGTCAGTCAGCTTTGCTGCAATAATGAATGATCCCATAAACCCCTCATGGTATACAATAGCAAGTAGGTCTCTCTTCCCCATTACATGGCCGTGGCTCCAGTGGGAGCCAGACTGCTACAACTCACTTCTTGGGACATCTCATCCCCAGATGGAAGTTGAAAGTGAGGCGCCATCTGGGACATGTTGCTTGGTAACAGAGGGAAGGAGAACTGCCTGAAAGATATGGTGCCTGTGGAAATTTTTGTCCACATGTGACCCATGTTTCATGTCCTCACATTCCACTGAGCAAAGCAAGTCATGCGGCCAGGGCCAGCATCGATGGGGAGGGGAAGTTTCTCCCCCAATAGGAAGTCCCTGCATGTTGCACAGTAAAGGGTGGATGTGTAATCCTCTAATAAAGAAGGGGATGAACAAAAAAAAAAAGAAGAAGAAGGGGATGACTCTTGAGTCATCCAAAAATGATACTGTAATATCTACAGGTAAAAAAAGCAAAGAGGGGGCAGCCTTGGTGGCTCAGCAGTTTAGCACCACCTTCTGCCTAGGGTGTGATCCTGGAGACCAGGGATCGAATCCCACGTCGGGCTCTCTGCATGGAGCCTGCTTCTCTCTGCCTGTGTCTCTGCCTCTCTCTCTCTCTCTCTCTCTCTGTGCCTCTCATGAATAAATAAATAAAATCTTAAAAAAAATAAAAGGAAGAATAAAAAAGAAAGAAAATGGGATTTAAGAAAAGTTGAATAGTGATGAGTACAGGAAAGTTTATAAATTTAAAATGTGTTTTTCTTAGGTTACACAAAATGGTATGTTAAAGGATTTAAAGCTGGACTATCCCCCTTAAATTATGGTTTGTCAGTTATCCTTGCCACATAATTTTATTGGAGACCGGTATTTTAACAGTATGCTCTTGGCCTCCTTTCTGATACTGTTTGGTTCAAAGAGTACCAACTAAATTTCACTTTAATGCAGGTAGGATTAACAGACTGAGTTGAGAAGGTAGTAGATCAAAATAATTTGGATGAAAAAGCAAAACACAGTGTATCAGTCAGCTTCATCTAGAGCATACTCATTTACCCAGTGGTTACCCAAACAGAAACTGTGGGTTTCGGGATGCCTGAGTGGCTCAGCAGTTGAGTGTCTGCCTTCATTCAGCTCAGGGTGTGATCCCAGGGCTCCCAGGATCAAGTCCCACATCAAGCTGCCCACAGGGAGCCTGCTTCTCCCTCTACCTATGTCTCTGCCACTCTCTCCGTGTCTCAAATAAATAAATAAATAAATAAACAAACAAATTTTTAAAAAACCAAAACTGTGGGTTTCTGTGGGTTGTAGCTTCAAAAGCAAGGCTCAATATTCACTTGACAAAAAGTGATGTCTCAGAAACACCAGGAATAATGTGGTGCTCAGGAAAAAAGAGAAGAAAGAAAAGAAAAGAAAATCCCTTCTTATTAAGTCTCTTAAATTCAACACTCTGTAGGAATGAATTTTTTAGTAGAAGGCCCAGCCACAAGCTGAGATGAGTAGACTAACACTTTAGTGCTAGTGTTTAGAGGATGTTGAGTTTTCAAACATGAATCTCCTAGAGAGTCTGACCCTCACAGACTCTGACAATGTGATCAGGGCATTTCCTTATCTGACCAAAGCAGAAACCAAGACACACAGCAGTTCAGTGATAGCACTTCCCTGAGTTCCCCAGCTCATTAATGCCTGCTCAGATCCCCATACCTAAGGCAAAAGGACGCCATGATGCTTAACTGGTCACCAAAGTTTTAATGAGAATGAACAACCGGTTTCCCTGAGACCTATCTGGCTGGGGCAGGTTGGGGGTAAGGGGTAGGGGAAGGTGTGCTAGACTGGGCACACCTGAGAAGGAAAAAGACATGGAAATTTTGAAAGCAGAAGCTGAAGTAAGGGAACACAAGCCAGGCCTGGTGTTAAATTTCTAATGAGCAGAGCCCTAGTAGGTATTCAAGTGCAAAGAATTATTAAAATAAGGAATGAGAGCAAACTAAGCAATTTCATTAATTTACTCAATGAAAATAGGCATAAATAATAGATATTTAAATATTTTCACTGAGAAAGGCCGTCAAACTCCAGCTGGTCTGCAGAAATGATTGTTGTTGGTGTGGTTTGGGTTCATGGCCAGTAATGAATATACTGATGAAGTCTACTGACACATTCTTATTCACTCTCTCAGCAACCTTGAAATTGGGGCACTAGAGAAGAGCGACAGGCATTTCATTCTTTTTGGTTAGTCAGAAATGCTAGCTTATTTTAAAGAAAAGGTTTGTATAGGTATATCTTATAATTATATTCCATCTTTCTTTTTTCTTCTTGAATATAAGGGGACCCAATGATTGCTTTTTCAACAAATATTTATTGAACATCTATTATGAACCAAGCACTGTTCTAGGTGCTGGGGACTCTGACAAAAAAGGATTTATATTATAGCAGGGTAGATGGACAATATTAAAATCAAATCTATAATATTACAGCAGGTACTGAAAAACACTTTGAAGAAAAAAAAAGTAGGATAAGAAGGTGGTGAAAGTCTCATTTTAGGAGAGGCAACAGGTGTTGGTGACAGCTCACACCACTGTCATCGGAACAGACTACTACATTTTTAGGAATTTTGCTAGTCAGATGTTAAAACAGCCATTATTATAAATTAAATCGCATAACCTTATGAAAAACATTATAAGCAAAGGTAATAAATATGCAAAACTCACCATTTATATTTATTTTTCTACTTGTTACTAGCATCTATGCTCTTTATTTACGTCTATTACACCTGCGTGTTGGAAATCTTACATACGGGTGTGCTGCTACACACCTTTTCCCGTGTCGACTGATGTCACATTGGTAGCTCACAACCAGCTGTGGCGGATGTATTTACACCATGGAAATTGGCAAATAATATAAACCTGGAGCTTTTTTATTCCAGAGAGCTGATTAAACACTTACCAGCACGGTACAGAGAAGAGTGTTTCTGATCAGGCGGTAGTTGAGCAGAGGCCTGAATTAAATGCAGGCATTGTCATCAGGATATCTGGAGGAGAACAATGCAAACACAGGCCTCAGACCAGCACCTGCTTGACGTGGTCAAGGAACAGCACAGAGAACAGCATGGCTGTTGACTGCACTCAGTGAACAATCTGGCAAGAAATCAGGGCAGGGGACAGATTAAGCAAAATTCTGAAGCCCTTGGTAAAAGATATTTTTTGTGATAAGTACACTAGGTAGCCATGGGAGGATTGAAAACAGGAGAGATTGTGAGCTGATCTCTGTTACGAAGGAGCACTCTATTGTATGGAGAAAAATAGATTGTTCTATCAAGTGATTTGTTCTAAATTTCAACCGAGTGGCATCTAAGAATTACTCCTTGCTTGCTGGAAACGTACCAGAATCACTGATATTTGCAATCACCTCAGTTAATCACAGGCAACATGGAATATATGGAAGTGACTACGAAGGCTCATCCCTACCCAATTCTCTTCTCCTTCCCAGGCACATGGGTTGTCTACACTTTCCAACACCCTCGAAATTAAGTGGGTTCACTTGATGAGTTTTGGCTAAGGAAATGTGAGTTGGAATGCTATCATATGCCACGACAGCAGAAGCATTTAAAAGCCACTGGGAGACCTCTACGCTCTTCTCTTGTCTTCCATGGTGACTGCACAGGCCACATATTGAGACAGAAGAACCACAGGATGAAAGCATCCTGATCCTCCAGTGACTGTGGAGTATAGCAGCCACCAATTTCCCCTGGGCATGTAACACAAGCAAGAAAAAAAAAATCTTTGTTTCACTAAGTCTTGAAATTTAGGGATTAATCTCTTGCTTCAGCTTAACCTAGCCTAACATGACTAACACAGAGTTTCAAGCTAGCAGTCTTTTCATAACACTAGCTAGCTAACGTCTATTCAGTGTTTACCCTATGCTGCGCACTACGCTAAGCATTTTACACATATTTCCTCATTTAAGACCCACATCACCTCTACGAGGCGGACACTATTATTGCTTCATTTTAGAGAAGAGGAACGGAAGAAGCCCAAGGAACCCCAAGCGGGGTTAAGTGGCTTGTCCAGGTCACCCGCAGAGCAAAGGGTAGAACCAAGATCCAGTACTGACTCTGGTGCCTTCCCTTTTCCTAATCAGGAAAGAACACACAGCCTCCTGACTTCATTCATTCCCTCACCCATTTATCCAGCACTTACAGTGAGTGGTAGGCTCTCAGCAGGCAAAGATAAATAGAACACTTCAAGGAGCTCACAGTCTAGTGAGGCGGAGATCTTGAAGAGTAGTTTATAATGAAAAAATTTACAGGAAATACAGCAGACAGAGGAACAGGCTAAGAGACTCCAGTCGGCAAAAGCCAGACTGTGGGAAACCCTATAGGACAAATGGCCTGGTTTCTTCAACAAATAAATTGCAAGGAAATTGAGAAAGAACCTACAGATTAAGAGAGATAGAGAAGACTTATCAACCAATGGCAAGATATTCTGGCTCCTGATTCCAGCAAACTGTAAACAAACCAGCCAAAAATGATGACTCCTACTAGATATTTGAAAATTTGAACACAAAGTGGACATTTAATGATATTAAGAAATTTTTAACTTTTAAAAGTTTGGGCGAGATAACGGTTTTGAGGTTATTTATAATGTATCCTTACCTTTTAGAGATACGTGCTAAAACATTTATAGATAAAATGATACAATGTCTGGAATCTTCTTAAAAGTATACAGGAGGGAGAAGTGGATAGACGGAACAAGACTGGTCAAGGATGATCATTGTTGGCCTGGGAGATAGTTCCATGATGATCAATTTGAGCAAATATTTAGAACTTTCCAAAATCCAAAGTTTCAGAAGAACCGTTCCTGGGCTGGATACAAAGAAACTAGTAGGATCGCTGGTGTTTGGGGATGTTGGCAAAGCTTCCAAAGAAAATGGGACATTCACATGTGAAACCATTCTCAGGCAGCAGAGAAGCACGCACAAACAAATTGAACTATTTTGAGCATCACCCAACATGATTGATGCCAGAGATGGTTAATATTTGTTTTTCAACCACAGCTGGCTGCCATCGCATTGAAACATTACCAGAGTTCATGAAACTTCCTTCTATGGACATGCATAGGAATAGACTGAGGGAACAGGAGATTGAACATAGGATTAGAAAGTCAGGAGACCCGCAGGAGAATCCTGGCTCTGTCTTTGTCCAGCTCTGTGTCTCAGAGATGGACTCTCCCATTCTGTGTCTCCGATCCCTCATCTGCAAAACAAGGAGGTCCCAACTGTTCCCCAAGAACCCTTCCTGCTCCAATAATTCTACACATGTTGGCTTCCATCGACATGACATGTTATTTGGGGGTCATGCGTGGGAATCAGCTGCTTCAGGTCACTGTAGCATCATTATGAGAACCAGAGAGACTTCTGGTAACAGGCCTCGCAATTACAAGAGACCCTGGGAAAGTTTCAGGTGCATAGAGACCCCCTGATGCGGCCTTCCCCATCGTGTGGGAAGCAGATGGGGGTATTACTGTGAGACCAGCGTTCATTGTCTTCAACACAGTACCCCAGATCTCGGTGCCCTTAGCAGGTTAAGGGAGGAGAATTTACTTACAATTTGGCAACTTCCTTGTTAATCCCATTGCTTTCTTTCCTTGAATGTTGACTATTGTGAAACCTGCCCCCTTGGTGTCCCTAACAGAGGTTAAAATAATACTGGCTGAATGATACGATGGACCCATAATTCTGTGCTGAGAAATAACAGTGAGAAGCATCCAAGTATCCCCTTACCACCCCACTCCCCGCACCTTTTCAACCGCAGCAGAGACTCGCCTGTAGTCATTCTCACCACGGCGGAAGTGATAGGACCTGAGGTCCAAAACCCCACTAGCTCCCCACCCCCTCCACTCCTACCTGGCAGAAACTGGATGCCACCCAGACTGGTTCGGGAGAGTTCTGGCATTTGAGAGGGAAACGAAGGGCAAGGGAGACCAGCTTGGTCTCTGACCTCCCGGGTCCTGCAATTTCTATCCTGGCATGATTCCCAAGAAGGTGGCTTTGGTTGAGAGAACGAGGCAACCCCAAGAGGGGGCGACCTGCAGACATCCTGACAGATGGGGAGGCTGAGCCTGCCCACCCTTCTTTGCTTCTTTTTGCCTGTGCTCCAATCTCACAGGCCTTTTGGTTCCAGAGAAGAACTCTTGGAAGAGACTCTCTAGCAGGAAAGCCTCGTCCAGGCTGCCTCCTGCAACATTAACTGTCCCTCCCTCGTGTCTCCACATACGCTTCAGGTGTGAAGGGAAGCTTCCCAGACTAGGTCAGCACCCTAAGGAGCACCCTCATGGAATCTCCTCGCTTCCCTTCTAATGTTTCTATCAGTCTGTAATTATAATTAGTGTCATCATATGATTAATCGGCCTCTGTAAACAGATACAACAAATCCTGGATACATATTGTTCTCTTTTTTTAAGATTTATTATTATTATTATATTATTATTATTATTTTAGAGAAAGAGTGTGTGCTGCAAGCAGGGGGAGGGACAGAGAGAGAGGGAGGATCCCAAGCAGATGCCCCATTGAGGGTGGAGCCCGACCCAGGGCTCGATGTCACAACCCTGATATCATGAGCTGAGCTGAGCCTAAACCAAGAGCTGGATTCAACTGACTGAGCCACTCAGGGGCCCCTGTTTTCATTTTAAAATTGAAATAGGACATATAAAAATGTACAATTCATAAGTGCAGCCCAGTGAATTATTACAAAATGAGCACACTTGGGCACCCACTACATGGGTCATAAAACAGTCCTAGCATCCCAGAAGGCGCTCTCCTCCTTCCCAAGGTAGTGACTGCCCTGACGTCCATAGATTAGTCTTGCCTCCTTTTTAAAGTTTTAAATCTTAAGACTTAAATGTTGAGACACATACTGTGAATTCATGTACAGTGAAATGTAACTTTCAGAGTATGCAGTTCTATGATTTTTCATTAACACGGGATTGTGTTTATCACAACCTCAATCAAGATACAGAACAGTTCCCTCACCCCCAAAATTCCCTTGAATCCTTCGTAATCAATCCCTCTCCCCCATCTCCAGTTCTTAGAACCCACTGATCTGTTTTCTTTCCCTATCGTTTTACTTATTCTAGAATGTCACATATATGGAATCGTCCGATACTGGTATTGGCAGGGGGAGGGAAGGTCTGGCTTCTTTCCCTAAACCTAATGTTTGTAAGATCCATGATGTGTACAGCAGTTGTTCGTTTTCATTGCTGTATGACTACACCATAACTTACTTACACGACTGTATGAACATACCACAGTATTGTCCATTGTATTGTTGATAGACATAAACTTGTTTCCAATTTGGGGCTATTACAGGTAATGCTGCTAGAAATGTTCTTGCACACACCCCTTAATGCTCACTACATACATCTCCTTTATAGTTTAGTGATCTCAAGGTCATGAAGATGTTATTCCTACCATACTTTCTAGAATTTCCGTTCTTTCACACTTAGATCTACAATTGACCCGGAATGCTTATTTGCATGTGATATGAGGTCGGGGCCTCAAGCTTCTTTCCCTTTTTCGCTACCTGGATATCCAGTTGAGCCACCATCATTCATTGAAAAATATGTCCTTTTACCTGGCTCTGCAGTGTCGCCTCTGAAATAAGCTGCCCATACACTTGCAATTTCGTTTCCAGCCTCTCCATTCTGTCCCACTGTCAATTTCTCTTAACCCTCCCCTTGTGTTCCTTTTCAGGATTTTTCTCAGTTATTCGTGACCCTCGGGATTTCTACACCATTTTTAGGCTCCCGCGTGAGTTCACTCATCCTTGGCCCCAGTCCTGACAAGGTGCCTGGCACACAGTAGGAGCCCAGTGAATGGCCCTTGTATGGATGGAGGCGACGTCGGGATCTTGCAGAGATTCTGGGAAAGACTTTCTCAGCGACACCCTCCTCCGGGGCCTGCCTCCCGCGCCCTTCCACTGCTCCCGCCCCTTCCCCCTGCCGGTTGGGTGCATCCGCCCCAGTCCCCAGATCCAGGCCCCCTGCAGGTATTAGGGTAAACTGCAAGGAGGTGGAGCTTGTCACTTCCCTCCCGGACACCGCCTTCTCTGCCGCCGGTTCTCCCGGCCCCGCCCCCGCCGCTCTAGCCCCGCCCCCGCCGCTCTCCGCCCCGCCCGCTCCCTGTCTGGCCGGAAGGGCCGGTCCCGCCCCCGCCTCTCTCCGCCCTGCCCCTGGCCCCTCCAGGCCCCGCCTCCGCCTCGCTCCACCGCCCTGGGCCCCTCCAGGCCCCGCCCCCGCCCCTCCAGGCCCCGCCCCCGGACCTCCAGGCCCCGCCCCTGGCCCCTCCAGGCCCCGCCCCCGCTCCCTGTCTGGCCGGAAGGGCCGTCGCGCCGCCTCCCCAACTGTGCTGCCGGCAGCGCGGGGATGGCAGCGGCGGTCGCGGCGGCTCCGGGGGGCCCGAGCATGGACCCCCGGCTGGACCAGGAGACGGCGCGGTGGCTGCGATGGGACAAGGTGAGGGGCGACGAGGGGGGAGGGCCGGGGGAGGCGTGGGGTCCTTCCCTTTCCCGCGGAGGGCGGGCGCCCGCGCTTCCCTCCCCCTGCGGCTCGCGGCCGCCGGGCGCTCGGCCCGTGGAGGACCCGAGCTGAAGCTCCGGCCCCAGACGTGCAGACGGGGCCGAGCCACCCCCTGGGGCCGCCGCCGGGGGCCGCGGGACCCGCCCGGGGAACTCTGACTTCCATCCACCGGCGCCGGGAAGCAGAGGCGCGAGCTGCAGTCGAGACCCGGGGGGGGGGGGGGCTGCAGGGAGCCGGCGCCCGGGACGAGGTGTGGGGGCGGTCGCTGGCCCTCCGCGGGGCCGGACTCTAAGTGGTTGTTTAAAGGGTGCCCCGGGAACGGCAAAGCGAGACCTTGGCGGGAATCCCTCCGGTGTGAGCAGGGTTATAAGGCTGTAAAATGGCTTGGCAGCAACCCAGGAAAACAGTTGCTTCTCCCATCAAGCAGGGGAAGAGGAAGCGGGGGTGGCCGGGCCTCCTTGCGCTGGGCTGCGGGTGGCAGACCCCGAGTTTGCTCGGGACAAGCTGCCCCGGGGCCGACCCGGCGGGAGCGAGGCGGAGCCGACGGCGACCTGGCCGGGCGAGGCCTGTGTCACCCTCCCGCAGCCCGCTGTGCATCGCCGGAGCCCGGGCTCCGGAGCGCTTCCCGCCTCCATCCCGTCGCCTTTGCTCCTGGGAACTTTGCAGAGCCCTATTCCCATCCACCCCTCCCAGGTGCTCCATTGCGAACACAGGCCCTCCTGCTTGGGCCTGCCCTGCTTCGGGCATCTTCCTCCAGCCCCTGCCTTTCCTGGAAAGATAGAAGGGGCTCCTTGAACACAGCACCACTAGCTTTTCTCCTGTTTACTCTCCTGGGTGCTAGAGCAGAGAGAGAGAATCAGGGACCCCACTCCAGACAGCGCCCCCTCCTCTCTATGTCTACTTGCTCTCCTACTTGCTCCTTTGGGGCATGCGGTTTGTTTTCCCAGAATGTTCCTTGGCTCTACCCCTGAACTTGTTTCTCATGCTGTTACTCCTATTTTGGGTCTGAACTTACATGTGTTTTGTGTCGAGAGGCCTGCCCTGGCGACCGACCAGTGGTAAATTAGGGCTCCCTAAAACCATCTCTAGATTGGTCAACAAAAGGAAACAAAACAAAAACTTGTTTGTAGGTTTATTTTTGCTTAATGTCTGGCCCCAGGGCTGACTTCAAAGGCGGGATGTATGTTGGGTGGTACAGCCCCTGTTCCAGGAAGGCCCAGCACTTGGGTTTAATCCTCTGTTGTCCTGCATTGAAATTCTTAAAACTTGTTGAACGAGGAGTCTCACATTTTCATTTTGCCCTGGGCACAGACAAGTTCCACAGCTGTTCCTCTCTACTCCCTCATTGGTTTTTAGGGCCTGACGCAGCACACTGCTCACACTTGTAGGGCAAAGGAAGGGAGATTGCAAGCTGTCAGCAGAGGCCAGGGCTTCCTCTTTACCTCTGGCCTCTGTACGAGAAAAGTGAGCACATCCCACACAGGATGCTCTTGGCAACCCTTTGGGTGGTTTTCCTTTTCCTGGAAAGGCAGTCTTGCAATTCTTTAGGGAAGGAAAATATTTCCTTTTCTGATAACTTAGTAACTGGAAGTGGGTAGAATCCTTCTTTGTTTTTTGTTTTTTTAAAGGAAGGGAGGGACAGAGAGAGAGAGAAAGAATAGTAAGCAGGCTCCATGCCCAGCCCGGAGCTCAGTCACTGGGCTCAATCTCACAACCTGAGATCATGACCTGAGCTGAAATCAGGTCAGATGGTTAACCCACCGAGCCACCCCAGGGCCCTCAGGGGCCTTTTAAAGTCATCACTGAGGGCAGCCCAGGTGGCCCAGTGGTTTAACTCTGCCTTTAGCCCAGGTGTGATCCTGGAGATCTGGGATCGAGTCCCACATCAGGCTCCCTGCATGGAGCTTGCTTCTCCCTCTGCCTGTGTCTCTGCCTCTCTCTCTCTCTCTCTCTCTCTGTCATGAATAAGTAAAATCTTTAAAAAATAAAATAAAGGCATCATTGATAATGCATTTTCCCATGAGACTTTCTCTTTGAAGAAATAAAAACCTAATTTCCACAAAATGTTGTATCTGTTTATGGAGAGAGAGGACCTCCCTGGGTAGAGGTGAAGGGATATTATCCTTTTTATTTATTTACATATTGTTTAAAAGATTTTATTTATTAAAATATATATATATATACTTTATTTATTTGAGAGAGAATCCCAAGCCGACCACACTGAGCGCAGAGCCCATTGTACAGGCCCGACTCCAGGACCTCAAGGTCATTACCCCAGCAGAAATCAAGTTGGCCTAACTGACAGAACCACTCAGTTCCTTTTTATTTTTTAATTTCTACCACTCCTCTTTCACTTTCCTCTCTGTCTTCCTCGGTTGGAGGCAGATGCCAAGTGGGGAGCATCTTGCCAGCCACTGCAGCCATCTGGTCTGCTTCCCCCAGGGCGACAAGGGAGGTCCCCTCGGCATTGCCACTGTGCCTCCATCCCCTCTGTCTCTGCTGTCAGCCTTGGTCCCTCTTATGACTGATCCCGGTCTCTGCCACCCTCCTGACTTAGCCTTCTAATCTGGCTTCTTTGGCTCCTTTCAGGCTATTTGGTCTTTTATGGCTATCAAAGGCCAGTTGGCGTTTGCCACATCTACTCTGTGTACAGGAGAATCACCAGATATTGGGTGTGACCTTGAAGTCCAGGTTTCCTCGTTCACTCAGCAAATATTTATGTGTTGCAGATCTAAGCCCTTCCTTGAGGGCACCTGACAATCTGATCGGTCAGATTGTGCTCTGTGATCAGCAGCTATTGCTTTTAACCAGAAAAGTGGGGTTTTACCGGTTTCCAAGGTGGAACAATCTGGAAAAGTGGGCTTCGTTCCAGAAAGCCAAGGTTTTATTGCAATAGCATTTCAAAGTTTAATTATGTGGCATATCTTGGCTGCATGTTCAGTAGTTGGATGGTGACTATAAGATAAAGTGCTTACTCCCTTGTTCCTCTGAATTCTTAGTTTAAAAGCCTGATGTGGAATTAAGGTGATTATCATTTTCCTCCATTCTTAACATTTTCTGCAACTCTTGTACAAAGAAAATAGGGCAATGATTCGTATGAGTGTCTATTTGAAACAGCTAATGTGATAGAGAAAGCACGAGATTAGTGTCCATCTCTCCAGGCTTCTCCATCTGTAAATTGAGGGTTTTGTTATTTGCCTCTTGGGGTCACTGCAAACTTCACATTTGACCAGGTATATGAAAGAATTGCACACATTAGAATCACCACAAGAGTAAGGTTTTGATATAAATTGTATAATCTCAGGGCACCTGGGTGGCTCAGTGGTTTAGTGTCTGCCTTTGGCTCAGGTTATGATCCTGGGGTCCTGGGATCAAGTCCCTGCATCGGCCTGCCTGCATGGAGCCTGCTTCTCCCTCTGCCTGTGTCTCTGCCTCTCTCTCTCTCTCTCTCTCTCTCTGTCTCTCATAAATAAATAAAGTCTTTAAAAAAATTTTTAAATAAAGGATAGGACTCAGGAACAGCCAAATGAAAGGGCTGCTTAGCCAAATGAAATGTGGGAAGGGGTACAGAGCTTCCTTGCTCTCTCTATGTATCTACACCCCCAAACACCCAAGTGTTCACCACTTGGAAGGTCTCTGACTCCAGTTGAGGGTTTTTGTGGGGGTTCTGTTTCCCCAGGTGGGACTGAATCACTGGCTACAGGTGAGTGAACTCAACCTCCAGGTATCAAATCAGGAACTAAGTCTCCTGGCAACCAGCCCTGTGTTCCACCTCTATTAGCATAAACTCAGGTTTGGCTCCAAGGGGTTTGTTATAAACAGCAGAAGATGTTCTTACCCTTCCCACTCTGGAAATTCCAGTGGTTTTAGAAGCTCTGTTCTTGGGATCCCTGGGTGGCGCAGCGGTTTAGCGCCTGCCTTTGGCCCAGGGCGCGATCCTGGAGACCCGGGATCGAATCCCACATCAGGCTCCCGGTGCATGGAGCCTGCTTCTCCCTCTGCCTATGTCTCTGCCTCTCTCTCTCTCTCTCTACTATCATAAATCAAAAAAAAAAAAAAATCAAAAAAAAAAAAGCTCTGTTCTGGGACCCAGGGACAAAGACGAAATATATATTTCATATTGTATCGCAATATCATGGATAATAATTAAAAAATTGAATCACCTGAAACTACTGTAAGGTTGTGTATCGGCTATACTTCAATTAAAAAAAAAACCGTACCTCATATTTCAAATTTCAACATCATCAGAAAACTGAAAAGCCATATGTATAGGGCTTTTCAAATATATACACTTTTCCCCTATAGGTTAAATTATTGTGAGTCTTTTTTTTTTATATTTCAGATTTTTTATTCTGTTATTCAGCTGGCTGTATCTGTTGTATACATTTCTGTTTCACAGAATCCTTTAACTTCAGAGTCAGTGAAACAACTAATTGCAGATGGTAACAAAGAAGAACTAGAAAAATGCTTTGGAGCTCGAATGGAGTTCGGGACAGCTGGCCTTCGAGCTGCTATGGGAACAGGAATTTCTCATATGAATGACTTGACCATCATCCAGACTACACAGGTACCACACTTTTATATTTCTTGGTTATTCTTAACATACTCCCAGCATTACAGGGTAAACTGAGGAATGTTAAAAATTGTAAGCATTTATTTGAGCAAAAACCTGTTTGAATCGGGCAATGCCCAACTGGAAGTAGTTAGGAGCACCCCACTCCCAGGAGCTGGGAGAAGGACTTACAGGAAAGAGGCAGAAGTAAAGCAAGGAAATTAATAGATCAGCTATAGCTCGAGCAGTTGCCTTATTTGGGAAAGTCTCACTGGCTGTCCTTAGGTTTTATTTATTTATTTATTTATTTATTTTTTAAAGATTTTATTTATTTATCCGTGAGAGATACACAGAGAGGCAGAGACAGAGGCAGAGGGAGAAGCAGGTCCCATGCAGGGAGCCCAATGCAGGATTCGATCCCGGGATCCCAGGATTACGCTCTGGCCAAAGGCAGCGGCTCAACCGCTGAGCCACCAGGGATCCCCTGTCCTTAGGTTTTAATTTCTTAACCTGCCAGCATTTACAGGCTTGGGTTTTGGTTTACTTCTATAGGGTACCTGGGCATTAAAGCCTCCTCCGTCTAATGGCATCCTTGTCTAATTAATATAACCCTGGGCTCCTTTTGTATTTGAGGGATCTAAATTGTATATTAATTATACCCAGGTCTTGTGGGTTTGCCAAGGCACAGGGAGTCACACATTTACTCGGTAAAGTAAGACTTGTGCAGTGGGTAAAAATGGTGGGTAAAAATGGTTCTTGTTTCAAAATTCATAGAGCTTGTCTTTCTTTCTTCCTTCCTTCCTTCCTTCCTTCCTTTTCCTTCCTTTCTTCCTTCCTCCCTCTCTCCCTTTCTTCCCTTCTTTCTACAGAGATTTATTGAATGCCTACCAAGTGCCAGGATTTGAAGATACAATAACTAAAACAGATTCTCTCATAAAACTGTCATTCCAGTGCAAATCCACCAGCTAAGCTGACACCTTTTATGGTCTTAGAATTTTGCAATGGTGGTACAGATGCAAGCATTGAAAAGCTTTTCTAGGGACACCCGGGTGGCTCAGCGGTTGAGCGTCTGCCTTCGGCCCAGGGCGTGATCCTGTTTCCCGGGATTGAGTCCCACATCGGGCTCCCTGCATGGAGCCTGCTTCTCCTCCCTCACCCTGTGTCTCTGCCTCTCTTTCTGTGTCTCTTATGAATCAATAAATAAAATCTTAAAAAAGGGGATCCCTGGTTGGCGCAGCGGTTTGGCGCCTGCCTTTGGCCCAGGGCGTGATCCTGGAGACCCGGGATCGAATCCCACGTCGGGCTCCCGGTGCATGGAGCCTGCTTCTCCCTCTGCCTGTCTCTGTCTCTCTCTCTCTCTCTCTCTCTCTCTGACTATCATAAATAAATAAAAATTTAAAAAAAATAAAAAAATAAAAAAAATCTTAAAAAAAAAGAAGAAAAAAGAAAGGCAGGAAGGAAGAAAAGAAAGAAAGAAAAAAAAGAAAAGAGAGAGAGAAAAGCTTTTCCAACTGCCAGAATGACCAGGAGCTAATGCTATTTCATCTTACTGTATAGTACAGGTGGAAATTATTGCTGAGTTCCTTTGCCTTCATTTGGGAATTTTACTGTCAGTCTACACCCAACTTCTAGGAATAGAGGTGAAACCTTTCTGCCATGGAGGATCTGGAGTTTTGTTTATGGAGGAAATGAAGGCCACTTTAATTGGGGGAATAGTCTAGAAAAATTGACTAATGATAATTATGTGTACCTTACATGTAGATCCTGGCATAAAAGACAGACTCGGGCATGTTCCAGTGAAACCCTAATAAGGAAGTCTTGCATAAGGGTATGGGGTTGCCATGGGAACCTTGGCTACACATTCCTGTTCAGCAATAGGGCTCCCTGAGATCTTTTTGGAGGGAAGGCTTAGAGTGGAGTGAGCCCGGGAAACCTGTTCTAGTCTTTGGATAGCATGGAATTGTGCCACTGCGTAAGGTCACCCTCTGCTCCAGGTACTAGGGCTGTATAACACATCACCCAAAACATATGGTTTAAAAACACACAAACACATTTATTTTGCTCACAAATCTATAGGTAGAGTTCAGTGGCAACAGCTCATCTCTGCAGGACTTGGCATCACCTGAGCCAGCTGGAATCACCTGAAAGCTCATTCACAGGCATGTCTGCAGTTACTGCTGCCTTTTGGCTGAGATCTTAGCTGGAGCTGGAACACTCCATGTGGCCTGGGCTTCCTTACAGTATGGCTGGGAGAGCAGCCAGTGAGAGCGGCCAGAGAGTGTGTGCAGGTGGAAGCTGTATTGACTTTTATGACCTAACCTTGAAAGTCACACCAATTCACTTACTTCCATCATATTCTGTCCAGTAAAATGACTCAATAAAATCGTTCCTGTTCAAGGAGAGGGCACATAGACACCCACCTCTCGATAGACAAATGTCACTGTCTCATTAGAGGAGTACAGGGAATTAGGTATATTCGCCTGGCCATCTTTGGAAAATCCAGTGGGTGACATCTCCTATTAGGCTTAATTGTTAGTGGATTCTAAGGGATTCTAGATGAACCCAGAACCTTTTCTCCTGTCTTCATCCGCATCCAGTTTGTAGGTGTGCTGAAATCTATCTGCAGGGAACGCCTGGGTGGCTCAACAGTTGAGCAGCTGCCTTCCACTCGGTCCTGAAGCCCCAGGATCGAGTCCCACATCAAGCTCCCCCACAGGGACCTGCTTCTCCCTCCACCTATGTATGTCTCTGTGTCTCTCTAGAATAAATAAAATCAAGAAAGAAAGAGAGAGAGAGAGAGAGAGAGAAGAAAAAAAGAAAGAAAGAAAGAAAGGAAAAGAGAAAGAAAATAGAAAAGAAAAACAAAGAAAATCTATCCGTGGAAGGGTCTTAGGCCCTATCTCGTACATCTTTCCCCTAGGGGAATTGGCCTCTTCTGGGAGTAGACCTTGTGATAGTTAAGAATCCTATAAAACTAAAATGAGTTGGTCCTTTAAAGGTCAGCTGATTCCAACCAGCCACTCCTTGTGATAACTTCCTGTATAGCCCCCACGACTTCCAAGTGATTATCCAGCCTACGCTGGGACACCTACAATAGGAGACACGGATCTTAAGAGTTAGGGCAGTTCTATGAGATCGGCAGGTACATTTTTGAAGTCTTAGGAGTGGTTTAAAAACCAAAGAAAGAGTCTCCCAAGACAAACCACCCAGGCTTCCATGGGTGGCTTCCTTGGGTGCTGTCACCTGAGAAGAGCGAGCTGGCTTTCTCTGGGGTCTAGGCAGCTGTGCTGGTCTTCTCCAGGGTGGACTCTTCTCCTAACGGTGCCCCAAAATTCATCTGGTTGGACTTAAGAAGCGGATATATGTGAATCATAAACATCCCCATGGGAAACAGGATAGAGACTGGAGGGAAATTTCTGTATTGTTTGCCTCGTTGCTAGAGGTTATGATTTCCTCTAAGGTTACTTCACCAGGCCGCGGCACGTCGAGGGTGGAACACTCACGGTCTCCTGAAATAGCCATTCTGTCTTTGGATTGTTCTCACTAAAGAAGGGTTTGGGGGCTCCTAGGTGACTCAGACTCTTGATTTCTGCTCAGCTCATGATCTCAGGGTGGTGAGATCAAGCCCCGTGTTGGGCTCCACGCTGGGCATGGAACCTGCTTAAGATTCTCTTCTTTCTTCAGCTTTTACGTATTGGTCATAGCTTGAGCTTTTGAAGCCAAAGTTCATTTTTTGTGTCCTGTAATAACATTTCAATTCTGTAAACCTCCCTCAGCCCACACTGAGTCTTTTCTCCATAGCAAACATCCCCTCTTCCTTTAGCCATTTTTTCAGGCTTCCAGTCTCTCCTGGCCCCAGAGGTTTTTAGAGAAGTTTGGTGGTGTGAGGATTCGGGACTAAGACCGAGTAGACCGAGTGTTCTTTGTGTCCTCAAACACTGGGGCTGGGGAGAGGCTGCTGTCCATGGTGTAAGCCTTAGAGGCATTCAGAGACTTTCTAGAAAACCCACAAAACCAGTGCACATGTGTCCTTGCTTCCCTGTATCACTCAGCCTCAGAAGGCATTCTCGGTTGGCACTGCTCTGGCAACAAAGCTGTGAAGGATCTCCTCTATCAAAAATAAGAGTCATACTTATTTTTTTAAAGACTTCCTTTAAGGGCAGGAGGAAAAAAAAGGACATTCTTCAGTCAAAGTGAAGTCAGTAATATTATTACCCAGTCAGCCAGAGGTCTCTTTGTTCTGTAAGAAAAACCTCTTTTGTCCAGTGATATAAACCTGTTGAATTCAGAGTTCACTGTTTTTCTGATCTTAATGATTCTGATTGATGTGAGGTTACCGTTCACACTGAGATACAGGAACTGTGTGTTCATCAGCAGGTGGTAATAGCCCACACTCTGCACGGTCTTTACATGTATAATTGGCTGAGCTGTGTAGTTGGACTGATAAGTCCTCCATAAAAGCTCAGCCTGCTGGAAAACAAGATCCCAGGTTGAGTGGGGTTAGATCAGATAATTCTCAAAAACTTATAAAACATATTAAGTTTTGGGACTCCTGGGTGGCTCAGTGGTTGAGCATCTGCCTTCGGCCCAGGGCGTGATCCTGGAGTCCCAGGATCAAGTCCCAAATCGGGCTCCCTGCTTCTCCCTCTGCCTGTGTCTCTGCCTCTCTCTTTCTTTCTCTCTCTCTCTCTCTCTCTCTCTCTCTCCCTCTCATGAATAAATAAATAAGATCTTTTTTAAAAAACTTAAGATTCTTTGACCGGCTGATTGAGCAGAACAGGCAACAGTGTCTGAAACACCTCCTTTTCCTCACTCAGACACTTTAGAACTAGTGTGAAGGGAGGAATAATGGCTTCAAAGGAAAGTAATAAAAATAATGCTCATAACAGCAGACAAATAGTCCTTAGTTGGCATTCGATTGGCAGCACTCCGCAAGTTTTACTTAAGCCTCAGAACAGCCCTTTGAGGTAGGTACTATTGTTTTGCTGTTTTACAAAACAGGAAATTGAGGCACCAAGTGATGAAGGGATTTGTTATTTGCTGGTAGGTGCCAGAGTGGAGTGTGAGCCCACAGATTCATGTGCTCTTAACCCCTGCACTGTCCCACCTCTAACCAGACCCAGGTAGGAACCAGGCTCTGCTCTTCCTGTGTGTGGGCAAGCCCCTCTGAGCCTTAGCTTTCCCATCTGTAAAATGGGACTCCTTGGGCAGCCCGGGTTTCTCAGTGGTTAGCGCCTCCTTCAGCCCAGGGTGTGATCCTGGAGTCTCAGGATCGAGTCCCATGTCAGGCTCCCTGCATGCAGCCTGCTTCTCACTCTGCCTGTGCCTCTGCCTCTCTCTCTCTCTCTCTCTCTCTCTCTCTCTCTCTCTCTCTCAGTCTCTCTCAGTCATAAATAAGTGAAATATTTTTATTAAAAATGGGACTCCTTGGGGAAGCCCCGGTGGCGCAGCGGTTAGCACCGCCTGCAGCCGGGGTGTGATCCTGGAGATCCAGGATCGAGTCCCACATCGGGCTTCCTGCATGGAGCCTGCTTCTCCCTCTGCCTGTGTCTCTGCCTCTCTCCTCTCTCTCTCTGAATGAATAAATAAATAAATCTTTAAAGAAAAAATGGGACTCCTTGGTAAAGATCTGGGAATTACTGATGATAGATACTAAGTGTCTAGCACAGTGCTTATATATATATAGGTAGACAATAAGTAAATAAAGCTGTTATTTTCTTATTGCTCAGTTTGTTTAATTATCCATGGGATATTTTTTTAGGGATTTTGCAGATACCTGGAAAAACAATTCAGTGATCTGAAGCAAAGAGGTGTTGTGATTAGCTTTGATGCCCGAGCTCATCCACCCAGTGGAGGCAGCAGCAGAAGGTATTTAAAGATACTTAAGAACCCATTTTTTTGTAGTGTGTTTCGTAGTTTTAATTCTTAATTGCTTCACCTACATTTGCCAGCTACATTGCTTACCTAGAAAAAGGATGAGTACACTCAGTTTGCAACTTTCACGAATTCTGATTTTACTCTTGGGTTAAGGGAATGAAATTATTTAGACAATTTAGAATTTAAGGTCTGCCTAAAAGACTTTTTTTAAATTTTTTTTTCCAAAATGGCAACATTGGGCAGCCTGGGTGGCTCAGCGGTTTCGCGCTGCCTTCAGCCCAGAGTGTGATCCTGGAGACCCGGGATCGAGTCCCACATCGGGCTCCCTGCATGGGGCCTGCTTCTCCCTCTGCCTGTGTCTCTGCCTCTCTCTCTCTCTCTCTCTCTCTCTGTCTCTCATGAATAAATAAATAAAATCTTTATTAAAAAAATGGCAACATTATTTCTCCCTCTTGTTTTCTTCCATTTGTCATTTTTTTCTTCCACTATTCGTAAGCCACCTGAGCTCCTTCCCATTCTTGAGCACCTGTTTTCAGCTACAGTCTTGTATGATTTTCAAACCATTGGTACTCTCACATAGCCACAGGCAGACGATGATGCAGAGGACAATGATGAGGACGGTAACAACAACAATTACTTGGGTGCTGGATATGAACCACACCCCAGGTATTTACTCATTAAATTCGCACAACAGCTTATGAAGTGTCTACTCTTACCTCTGTCATCCAAGATCCTGAAGTGAGAGAAGGCGCCACAGTTTCAGCATAAAGAAGCTGACATCAGTGGTCAGCAAACTTTATTTCCAAAGAGTAACTAGTAAACATCTTACTCATTGTGGGCTGTACAGTCTATCACAGCTACTCAAGTCTGGCACGGAGCACAGCCGTAGTAATACATACCGAATGGGCGTGTGGCGTTCCAGTAAAATTTTATTTACAAGTGGACTGTAGGTTGCCACCCCCTGCTCTTAATCCTGTTACAGGACCCTCTTTTTCACTTGAGCACTTCCCCTATTATGATGAATTCTTTGTCACTCCAGAGTAGACGTATTTTAAGAGTTTCTTAGATTGGAAGAATATACAGATATTTAACATTAATGAAAAGTCTCATTGCCTTTACAGTGCAGGATGAGTTCATAGAGTCCTATTCTTTGCCCCTAAAGAGCTCCTAATCTAAGAGAGAAGCATTGATGGGAACAAATGTGTAGCTCCAGGGAAGGGAATATGGCCAGGGCATAAGATTAGATGACATTAGCCCCTAGACTGAGCTCAGAATCACGTAAGATTTTCACTCTTTTTTTTTTTTTAAGATTTTTATTTATTTATTTTTATTTATGTATTTATTTATTTATTTAGAGGTAAAGCATGAGTGGGATGGGGTGGGGGAGGGACACAGGGAGAGAGAGAACCTCAAGCAGACTCCGCGTTGAGTGCAGAGCCTAACACAGGGCTCGATCCCAGGACTCTCAGGTCATGACCTGAGCCAAAATCAAGAGTTGAACGCTCAACCCACTGAGCCACCCAGGTGCCCCCAATAAGATTTTTGCTCTTAAGCTACAAGCCCAAAACTGTGACTTTTGTCAACAAAGCAAGAGAGAAGCTGTCACTCTGCATTTATAAGAGAGGGATGTAGTATAAACCAGAATGTCAGTTTGTCAGTTCTCAGTGAATTTACAGTAAGAATTACGTCAAAAGCATGCTTTACTGGCCCCGGGGGCAGGCACATCGTCCAGCCAGAGCATGCCCAGTGCATTTGTGTGCCTGCTGGGCTTCTGAAATTGCTTCTTTTTAGGCTCACTCTCCTGCTTCTGCTAGACACATCCTTCAGATGTGTTCACATTGTCAATGAAGGTATGAATATTTCTTACTCTGGCCTTGGAGCTATAGCGTTTCCTTAAAGTAACTGATATTTGAGTTTATGGTTCAAGTCTCAAGTGTTGTTTTTGTTTTGTTCTTTTTTTTTTTTTCTTAAGATTTTATTCATTTATTCATGAGAGACACAGAGAGAGGCAGAGACATAGTTCGGAGGGAGAAGCAGGCTCCCTGCGGAGAGACCGAGTGGATCTCGATCACAGGAGCCTGGGATTACAACCTGAGCTGAAGGCAGATGCTCAAACACTGAGCCACCCAGGCGTCCTACAGATCTCAGAATTTGATGGGGTGGAGTGGAGCTCAAGGTTGCTCTCTGTCACCTACAACCTGCAAGACGATTAGAGACAGTAGCATAAATATTAAACCACTAGATGGTCAAACATTTGTGATGAGTAAATGGAATCTTCTTAAAGAGTTAGAAATGATTGCAGTTGAAAGATTTTATGCAAGGAACTGTTTATTCCTTGGTCTTCCAATTTTAAGTATCTGGTGGGGAACATAAACACATAAACAGTAACTGTGAAACATATGCAGAGAACACATTGAATCTTTGCTGTGCTAATTTGTAACTTGGTTTGTATATATAATGTATATATTGAGTGTCTCCCTTGCTTCTTTTAAGAAAGCCCCTTTAAAGTGAGCCGGAGGGACGCCTGGGTGGCTCAGTGGTTGAGTGTCTGCCTTGGGCTCAGGTTGTGGTCCCCAGGTCCTGGGATCAGGTTCTGCATCAGACTCCCTGCAGGGAGCCCGCTGTGTGACTGACTGTTTGACAGTGGGACAACTTGTCTGGCTTTTCTTGGCTTTAGTCCCATTTCTGTAAAATAAAGGGGTGCGACAAGATGACTCCCGAGATTCCCCCAACTTGAATGTTCTATGCCAGTGGAAATAAAATGAACCTGAAGGAGTCAGGCACTCATTTCCTTTTTCACCATCATCCATAGTCCTGACAACCCTACTCTCCTTTCTCCCCCCACATGTCCAGATTTGCCCGCCTTGCTGCAACCACATTTATCACTCAAGGGATTCCTGTGTACCTCTTTTCTGGTATAACCCCAACCCCCTTTGTGGTAAGTAATCCTTTCTGTTTATAATTTTCTATCACAGGATCAGGGATGGCAGGTGGCTGCATTTTACGGCCTTCAGTGCTATTGGGATTTGGGTATTTATATGACAGAAGAGCCCCCTTGGCATTTATCAGGCATTCTCTCACCTCTCTGGGTATGTTTTCTCCACATCTTTAAAATATTTCTCTGGTGTTCAACTCCCAATACATCAGAGCTAATTTTCTTCTAAGAGCAAATTTCCATTCAAAGAATATTTTAGCTAGTTAGCAAAATGTCTTTTGTTTGTTGACTGTGTTTCCATTTGGTTTGTATTTCTTTTTCTTGCTGGCACAGTTGGAAACTTCTGGGGTCTAAATCTGAATTCGCCCCAAACCATGCCTTACCCTGAATATTTTTGACAGGTTGATGTACCAGCTTTTCATACAAATGTTTTGTTCTACATACTATTCATGACCAGGACATGAAGTATGTTTGGCATATTTTAGCAAGACTTTTTTTTTTTTTTTTGGATGAAATCCTTAATGTAGCAGAACCTAAAGAAAAAGACAATAGGAACTATAACAACTGTTGTTTTTAAGTAGATAGAACTTTTAAGAACGGGGCCAGATGCTGAGAATATATGTTTTCAGAAATTAAGTCAAAAACGTGAGTAGAATGCAGTTCCTTACTTCAAGTGGAGAAGAGAGGGGATAAATACACAGGCCAGCCCCGTAGTTTGGTGCTTACTGGCTCTAGGGCACTGACAGGTAGATGTACCACCTCCCAGGTTGTAAATAACCCAGCAGACATGCAAGGTCACGTCCAAATGTAGCTCAGCTTTCATTGTTTGAGGGAAAAACTGCAGTGCATTCAAGCATCCTTGGTCTTCTGTACTATGTAAGTGTTACTGCTATTATTTTTCTATCAAACATAAATTATATGAGTGTCTCATGATCCTTTTCCCATGCTATGGAGTAGTTCTACCCTTTCCTTTGGGGGATATAAAATAAGTCCTAAAGGGACAAATGACCACAGAGATTCTTGGAGGAGGGCAGATGGTTAGAGTCTCAAGCCCCCTGTGTGTAGTAAATCCCACTTAGGGCCGGAGGGAGGATAAGCCCACCCCTCTCCCCACCTGGGGAAGTAGTCTTGCAAACATGGGAGCTGAGTGGAAATACAAGAGAGGGATTTCTAACCCTGGAGTGGGACATAGGTGAGCAGGCTCTTGGAACATTCCATTCCTTCAACCTTGCCCTACATTGTTGCTAAAAGTGAATGGGAAAGAAGGGAAAGTCGTTGGAGGGAAGAAACAGAATCCATAAGCTTCTGTCCCAAGCAGAAGGCTTAAAAGAATGTGAAATGGAGGATTAGACCTTCGTATTTGAACAGATTTCTAGTTCTACCAAGTGGAAGATAGAATGAGAGGAAGGCACCAAGAAAAATATCACCTGTCTCATCGGTGCACGGCCCAGAATTTTGAGCAGTCATCTAAGGGTCATTGTATCCTTGGGTGTGGCGCAAAATTATGGCATGACACCTTATGATGTTCATCTGTTATGTTTATTAAAAGAGAATGAATTGATACGATCTACAGTAAACACACTCAGTATATCTGATTTTTTGCTTACCACCGCTCTTCTTTCCTGCCCTTACAGCCCTACACAGTGTCGCATCTGAAACTTTGTGCTGGAATCATGATAACTGCCTCCCACAATCCAAAGCAGGATAATGGGTACAAGGTACTCTGTTTTTTCTCTTGACACCTCTGTCCTTCTTCAGGCATCCTGTACATTTACAGGGTAGGCACGGAGGCTTTGTTTGCATTCACCCTAAGCCATCTGGGTATGTTCCTGCATTCCCCAGGTCTACTGGGACAACGGAGCTCAGATCACCTCTCCTCATGATAAAGGGATTTCTCGAGCTATCGAAGAAAATCTAGAGCCGTGGCCTCAAGCTTGGGACGATTCTTTAATTAATGGCAGTCCACTCCTTCATGACCCAAGTGCTTCCATCAATAAGAGCTACTTTGAAGACCTTAAAAAATACTGTTTTCACAGGTAAATGGATTGTAAACTCACTTCAAGTGAGTTAAAATAATGTGATTCAGCCAAATTCTAACAGTTTTCATTAAACTTTTCTCTCCAGTCACTACATATAGGGTAGCTGTGTCTGATTTGAGAGACCATAGGTCGGGGTCAGCAATTTTCCTTAAAAGAACAGGTAATAAATATTTTTGGCTCTATGAGCCACTATTTTACAACTACCCAACTCTGCTCTGGTAGTAGGAAAGCAGCTATAGATGATACATAAATGAATGAATGCAAACATAGGTTCAAAAAAATTGTTATTAAAAAAAAAACAAAAAAACAAAAAAATTGTTATTGACAAAAGCAGGTGGCCGGCATATTGGCCATCGTTTGCTGACCTGTGTTGTAGAATCACACGCACACGCACATGCACACATACATGAGACTGTGTTCGCATATATGTATGTAAGAAAAAAAAAAAAGCTTGCTGAAAGGTGGCAAAAGGAAACACTGATTTTTTTTTAATCTTTCCAGAAATTTTCTGTGCATGTGCTAGCACATTATGTGTCATATGCTTCAGAACCATAAATAGAAATATAGTGTGCAGGTCGTTTGTTCCATACCCACTTTCCCCAGTTAATTTGCCATGGATACCTTCTGTATGATAACAGATCCCAGTCACGGTCCCTATTAGCTGTGACTCTTGCTGCAACGGGTGCTGTACCCATTTCTTTAACCCAGCGATGCACATTTGGATACATCCAGTTAGCATGCTGTGGGTCCCGCCACCCCCGACTGTCCCCCAGCAAGAAACCACTGATTTTAAAGAAGCCAATTTCTAGGTTGTCTCTAATACTGTAATTGTTGGACCACTGGGAGTGGAGGCTCCAGTGTAGAGTGCAAAACCCTAGCTGTACCTGAAGGGAGTGGCCATCCTAGGGGGTGCGTAGTTACCAGGTGCAAGTGGAGGTCCAGGCTTGCCAGATCACCTGACTCGTTCTCCCCAAGAAGAGATGAGAAACTTAAATTTTCTACGTGAAATCTCCTAATTTTTAAACATCAGGGACCATTTCGTAAATGGTGTATACACCGAACAAAGCACACCTATGCGACTGTGCCTTCTTTCCGGCCCGCTGATTGAATTTCACGAAGACCAGGGTTTCTACTTGTTTGCTACTCCACTGAGGCCCAGCAGCAACATGCCTGATGCACAATTCCTTGAGTACTTGGCACGGGCGTGCGTGCATGTGGATCCATAAGACGCATTTCTGGCAGAAGCACTACGTGCATGCACAGAGTTGGCAATGATTAATAAATTGCTCTCCACACGTGTCATGCTAGCTGATGTTCCCACCAACATAGTCATAACAGTATCAAATACAATGACATCATATGTCAAGCGTGTCATAACTATATGATCCACACATCTGGCCCCTACTGAGTAGTATCAGGTTTCTTATTTTGTTAGAGGGAAGTAATATCTTACTTTATCTGGATGCTCTAAGTATGAATAAGCTGCTTTTTTCATATTTACTTAACCTATATTAACATATTTATTCATTTTTTACATTTGTGAAACCTCTTTGCTTATATAGGAAACCACTCTTTATTTCAAGTATTGTTTTCCCTCCTGTTGTCACCTTTGGGCTTTTTTATTTAAACTTTTTTTTTAAGATTTTATTTATTTATTCATGAGAAAGAGAGAGAGAGAGAGAGAGAGGCAGAGACACAGGCAGAGGGAAAAGCAGGTTCCATGCAGGGAGCCCGACGTAGGACTCGATCCCCGCATCTCCAGGACTGGGTCCTGGGGTGAAGGCAGCGCTAAACCACTGAACCACCCGGGCTGCCCATTATTTAAACTTTTTGATGAACTCATTAAAGATGGATGATGTCTATCAGTCTTTTAATTTATGAGTTGTGAGTTTTGTATTATACTTTCTGTACACCAAGATTATTTTTTTAAAAGTCCCCCTTGAAAAAAATAATAAAAGTCCCCCTTGTTTTTTTCCTAGGACTTGCATATTTACATGTTATGTTTAAATCTTCTCATAGTGGTTTTTAATTTCGTGTGAGACATGAAGTAGGAAAGCAATTTTTTTTTAAGTTTTGCAGTTATAGCAACACACTAAATTGAAGAATCTACCTTTTTTGACTAATTGGAAATATCACCTTTATAAAATAATTCCTAACATGGATTGAGTGCTCCAGCTTCTATATAGGCCTTTACTTGTACTGATTAATTTAATCTCATTTTAATCCTCACAGTTATGCTAAGGGTAGATTCTGGTATTACCATTTTATAGATGAGAAATGAGAAAACTATGACACAGAGAAGTTAAGTCAATAACCAATAGTCATACAGCTTATAAGTGGCAGGACTCTAGGATTTAAATTCAGAGTCTGTCTTCAAAACATGTTAACCATGAAGCCATTACACCTTCTCATATATATTTCCCATTTCAAACTTTGTGATTCCGGAGACCCGGGATCGAGTCCCATGTCGGGCTCCCTGCAGGGAGCCTGCTTCTCTCTCTGCCTGTGTCTCTGCCTCTCTCTCTCTGTGTCTTTATGAATAAATAAATAAAATCTTAAAAAAAAAAAACTTGATCAACTTCTCTCTCTCTATTCTGTTCCTTTCATCTGCCTTGTTACATCTAGTTCTACACTGTCCTGCTTGTGATAACTTTATACTTCACTTTAATATCTGAGTGATTTTCTTCCAGATTTGTTCTCACTAGTCTTACATATTTACTTTTCCAGATGCACTTTATTTCCTATTTTAAGAGAAGACCTTGTGCATTCATTCACCTTCCAAAGAAACGGGTTAGGTTAAGACAATAACCCAAGATTCTAGTGGTTAGAACCCTGGAACCTTTCTTTTTTTTTTTTTTAATTTTTATTTATTTATGATAGTCACACACACACAGAGAGAGAGGCAGAGACACAGGCAGAGGGAGAAGCAGGCTCCATGCACCGGGAGCCCGACGTGGGATTCGATCCCGGGTTTCCAGGATCGCGCCCTGGGCCAAAGGCAGGCGCCAAACCGCTGCGCCACCCAGGGATCCCCCCTGGAATCTTTCTCAGTCTTATTTTTACCTTCCTCTGACTTTTACTTTTGATATATATTGTCATTCTGTTTTAATTCCCCGACCCCAGGTAGTTTGACAAACAGGATTGCTACTTGACAAAGATAAAAACTTTTTTTTTATACATCCATGTATGAGGTGTTCCATCACATTTTGTAAAAAGGGACATTTTGAAGCTAGTAGAGAGTATTGGGAGCCAGGACTCAGGCATGGCCATGGGCAGGCACCACAGGCAGCTGGGAGTCTCTCCTGGAATGTGAAGCTGGACCGTTCTTTTTTTTTTTTTTTTTTTAAATAAAGGGTTTTTATTTTAAGATTTATTTATTATAGACATAGAGAGAAAGAGAGAGAGAGGCAGAGACACAGGAGGAGGGAGAAGCAGGCTCCATGCTGGGAGCCCGATGTGGGATTCGATCCCGGGACTCCAGGATTGTGCCCTGGGCCAAAGGCAGGCACTAAACCTCTGAGCCACCCAGGGATCCCCTGGACCGTTCCTTAATCTGCTTCTAGATGTGGAAGCTATCTCATGAAACAAACTCTGAAAGTAATCAGATAACTACAGAGTAAAATTTAAAATCTGTATATGTTGGGGGGAGGGTGCATATTTGGGTAAGAATGAGTAAGTTTTGCTTCTTTTTTTAAATGGAGTTAGATAGTCGGTTGTCTTGTACACTCTAATCACATGGATTTCTTCCTTTCTTACAAATCTGGTCCCTTGATAGCAAAGCTTCTGGTTTTGCAAGCCATATTTGCATCTTTTATCTATATTCTATCCTTTTCTGTGGTGTGTTTAATTCCAGGAATGTGAACCGGGAGACTAAGGTGAAGTTTGTGCATACATCTGTCCACGGCGTGGGCCATGACTTTGTGCAGTCGGCTTTCAAGGCTTTTGATTTTGTTCCTCCCGAGGCTGTTCCCGAACAGAAAGATCCTGATCCTGAGTTCCCAACAGTGAAATACCCAAATCCTGAGGAGGGGAAAGGTGTCTTGGTAACCTACTCTTTTTTGTTCTAGAACTTACCTATTATATCCAGAATTCTTACTATCGAGTATAATAACTTTGTATGTGTTTCCATTGTGCTGAACAAAAAACCCAGCTTCATCATCTGAGAGATTTATATGTATTAGTCACCCATTTCTTATAGGAACTTGCAAAATACATGTCTTAGCATCAGGATGTGAGAGCTGATACTGAAATGTTTTAAATTGAATTAAATTGAGTTTATTTTGCTTTCTTAATGTTAAAAAGGAACAGTAACAGAATGAATATTTATCACATGATTTTTATTTCTTAATTTTTATTCCTTAATTTTTCTAATATGAAATAATGCTACTTAAATTATGGTCCCTTTAACCTTTTTAAAGGTTAGGGTAACAAAGATATTCAGAGAAGGGCGCCTGGGTGGCTCAGTCGGTTAAGCGGCTGCATTTGACTCAGGTCATGATCTCAGGGTCATGGGACTGAGTTCCTCGTCCCTGCTTAGCAGGGAGTCTGCTTCTCCCTTTCCCTCTGCCTCTCCTCTCTGGCTTGTGCTTTCTTTCGCATTCACTCTCTCTCAAATAAATTTTAAAAATCTTTTAAAAAAAACAACAGCAGTGATATTCAGAGTCCATTTATTTTGGTTTGTTTTTGAGGTTGATCACTTGGCAAGGCCTAGAAATACCAGTCTCACCACATGCACGCTATCGGATGTGGGGTGAATCCCATGGGCAGGTGTGGGTCACGTGGGATGTTCCCATTACATCACCTCTGGATTAGGAAGTAATAGGTGACCGGCCAAGACCAGCTCCAGAAATAAAATCCAGCCTTCGTTTGGGGAAAGTTCTTTTAGTTCTTAAGGAATTTAATGTGTTTTAAAGACTATAATATGATCAATTCTTGACTGAAGTAATCTTTTATTTTCCTACTCTTTTTCAGACTTTGTCTTTTGCCTTGGCTGACAAAACCAAGGCCAGAATCGTTTTAGCGAATGATCCAGATGCTGATAGACTTGCTGTGGCAGAAAAGCAAGACAGGTACAGTTGATCATGATTACCTTTCTGATAGAAAACATAACGGGGTAACATCTTCAGCAGTAAAATGTTCCTGGGGCGACTGGACCTATTTGGAAATATTTACCATTTATTGTCCCACAAGTCATCCCTGAACCTCTAACATATGCAAAACACTGTTCTGGGGGCCAGCATAATTAATGCAGAGTAAACCGGACCAGGATGGACTTGGAATTGAAATTACTATTAATCTTGTCTCATTTCATCATTGATTTTATTATAATTAATGACTCAGTCCCTAATGCTGGCAAGTACTGTGTTTGGTGCTAGCTTTACAGTTCAGTATTTGCTTTCAGGAAACGTCAGATTTAGGTTGAGTGGACCAGAGAGGAATGGCAGTGGAGTACCCAGTGTTTAAGACAAGTTTGACCATAAGTGGAATAGGACATAAGTGGAGAGAAAAGATGAAAGGCAGGCAAGGTCCACACAGTTTTGGGTGTCAGACAGCACATGTGATGTTTTGGGAGCAGTGGGGTGCTGCCAAAGGATTAAGGTTTTATTTATCTATGATTTTAAGTTTTTTGAGAGAGAGAGCGAGCAAGGGGCCGAAGGACAAAGGGAGAGAGAAGCTGAAGCCAATTCGAGCCAGCTCAAGCCCCACGTAGGCTTCAGTCTTATCACTGAGATTATGACCTGAGCCAAAATCAAGAGTTGGATGCTCAACTGACTGAGCAGCTGCCACAGAGGATTAGGGTTTTAGATTATGGTCGAACAGATTCAATTCTATTTTTTTTTTTAAGATTTTTTTTATTTAGGGGAGAGAGAGAGAGACAGCATAAAAGTGGGGGAGGGGCAGACGGAGAGGGAAAAGCAGACCCCCCACTGAGCAGTGAGCCTGATGTGGGGCTCGATTCCAGAACTTGGAGATCATGACCTGAACTGAAGGCAGATGCTTAACCAACTGAGCCACTCAGGTGCCCCCAAACAGGTACAATTCTAATCACTTTCTAGAAAGTTAAGCTAGGGTGATGCATGTTGAAACATGAAATGTCCTAGCCACCCAGATTACGAAGAGGAGAATGAATCCCATGTCTGTTCTCTGGTATCCTCATCGTTTTAGTATGAACTTGCTCTTGAGGCAGGCTAGGCTATTGCCTCCCTGAAACCTCAATACTGACTGGACTGAAAATTGAGATATGCAGACTGTTATCCTGGGGTAGGATAGGGTGCGTGGGATCTTGCCAGCATATTTCTATCATCTTTAAAACCAAAGCCTTGGGACACCTGGGTGGCTCAGCAGTTGAGCATCTGCCTTTGGCTGGGGTCCTGGGATCAAGTCCCGCATCAGGCTCCCTGCAGGGAGCCGGTTTCTCCCTCTGCCTATGTCTCTGCCTTTCTCTCTGTGTCTCACATGAATGACTAAATAAAATCTTAATAAATACATACATACATAATAAAACCGAAGCCTTTGCCAAAGACAATTGAAAGCTTCATGTAGCTTCGCTCTTCAAAGATGGGAGGTTTGTCTAAGCAAACTGGTTGAGACAGAGCTACTGCTCAAATGTTTGTGAAGTGACAGTCACGGTTCCAACCAGTTATTTAAACAAGAAAGACAAGGACACTTGCAGGAACCAGTTTGAGGCTTGTTTGCCTTAATTGTCATGTCTCAGTCACTTCCAATGTCTCTCTTAAGATCACAGCAATGCATTGGTTGTTTTTTCTTTCAGCGGTGAATGGAGAGTGTTTTCAGGCAATGAGTTGGGGGCCCTCCTGGGCTGGTGGCTTTTTACCTCCTGGAAAGAAAAGAACCAAGATCACAGTGCCCTCAAAGACTTATACATGCTGTCCAGCACCGTCTCCTCCAAAATCTTGCGGGCCATTGCCTTAAAGGAAGGCTTTCACTTTGAGGTAAGGTATTTCTGGGACTTGCTCTTGAATCTCTTTTGCTCTGTAGAAGGTCTAAGGCATTTCCTTCTCTTTTGGGTTATCCCTTTTAGGAGACACTAACTGGCTTTAAGTGGATGGGAAACCGAGCCAAACAGCTAATAGACCAGGGGAAGAATGTCTTATTTGCATTTGAAGAAGCTATTGGTAAGAAGTGATAATGGTGATTATAGCATTAGCTAATATATAGAACGCAAATAAATGGGATTTGGATTTGGGTTCAAAAAAATTAACAGTAGAACAGTAGCACACCGGTGCTCAAAGGTTGTTGAACTTCCCTACCCTAAATTTGGCATCTCAAATTTTCTTTCAGCTAAAAAGAATACCTCACAAATAACCAAGCCATTAATAAAAGAAAGTGAATCCATTCCCTTGATGAAAACAGTGATGTTCTGCACATGGGTGCTTATAGCTCCGGAACCCCCATATTTTGGAGAGTTGTGGTAGTTCCTCAACTGTGGTGTTGACCTCCAAGTCAGATATGGTTTGCTCCTCTCCCAAAAGTGCTTAGACCGAAGTCTGTCCAGAGGAAAGGAGAGGACTCGGTTGTGGGGCTTTCATCAAAGTGACTGTCACCTGAAAGGACAGCCCCAAGTCCAGCCAGAATGACTGAGAAAGACTATCTTAAATTGTCAGTATAGGTGAGGAGAAAGGGGAGCTAGTATAGAAACTTGAAATTCAGATGTTTGTGTGGAGGATGTTTCAGCTATCCATTTAGTAAAAGTTATCATACCTTATACAAGAACATTCCTCCAGGGGCCCTTGGATGACTCAGTCGGTTAAGCATCTGACTCTTGGTTTCGGCTCAGGTCATGATCTCAGGGTCCTGAGATCGAGCCCCATATTGGGCTCCGCACTCAGCGAGGAGTCAGCTTGCAAATTCTCTCCCTCTGCACCTCCCCTTGATGTGTGTGTGTGCTCACACACATGTGCGCACGTGTGCCTCCCTTCTCTCCAATAAATCTTAAAAAAAAAAAATTCATCTGTATTTCCTGCAGCACAGATGCTCCCACATATCATTTAACTAATTAATCAAATGAAGTGTGCAATAGCTCAGCTTTTGTCCTTTTGTCACAGTTTAGCAGTCTTTCTATAGCTTTTTATTAAACATTTTTTTCTTGTACTTGTTTATCAAATATTTATTGCACATCAATTACATAGTGACCCTGAGAGAAAAAGATGACACTGACCTCAGCCTAGAGCAGTGTGCATCGAGCTCATTACCAGCCACACAAGAGAGCACAGGCTGGGTGTCAAGGTGAAGGATGTAACTCACAAGGACTGTTGGAATTCAGAGAAGATGGAATAAGCATTGACTAGAACCACTGGGAAGGAACCATCTTGTGTGAGCGGAGGGGTTTGAGCTGGATCTGGGGAATGAACAGTTTGTCTAGGAGGAGAATCTCCTAGACTCACCCAATACATCTTGAAGGCCTGCCTCACCCCTAGGCCTTGAGCTGGATTCCTGAATATACAGGTGGTAAATGAGAAGCATTCACATATTCATACCGTACAACCTCTTTTGCAATGGGCAAGTTGCATGGAGATAATGTGCATGTACAGGGTGGTAAAGGAACCCAGTCCTAAGAGCGTATGTATGACACGTGTTTCTGCAGGATATATGTGCTGCCCTTTTGTTCTGGACAAAGATGGAGTCAGCGCCGCTGTCATCAGCGCCGAGTTGGCTAGCTTTCTAGCAACCAAGAATTTGTCTTTGTCTCAGCAGCTAAAGGCCATTTATGTTGAGTAAGTTTCTATTAACTCTGTTTAATTTTTTAAAGTTTTATTATGTTTTTATGTGTGACACTAATATTCTTTCTAACGCCCTTACTTTGGCTGAGGGTTCTTCTGAAAACTAAAGATCACCTTTTCTTTTATGCTTAACTATTCAATACTAATTATCACTATGACTGTGTTAATCCTTAACAAATGAGAACATCAGTTGCAGAAATAGCTAATTGAAGAGGGTGATTCCCTGATGTCAGAAAGGACAAAGGTTTTCGTGAAACATCTATTACGTATTTAGAGCCACTAGTCAAGTCCACCTTTGTAGTGCAAAAGCAGCTGATGGCAATACATACAGGAATGGGCGTGGTGTGGCTGCGATGAAATGAAACTTTCACCTCCCAAGATAGGCCGAAGGCCAGGCAGCAGTTTGGCAATACCTGGTGTCAATAGTTATACCTCTTTTTTATGCTAAATTATTCCTTTAAAGCTAGTCTTTATTATTCGTTTCATTTAGCTTAAAATATACTGATTGATACATGTTCTGTATTTTGCATCAGAACATTGTTCTGATTGTTCCTCATTTTGCATATTTGTACTTTTTTTTATTGAGATGTAATTGACATTAATGTCAGGTATAATAACATAATGATTTGATATTTGTTATGTGTTACAAAGTGATCACCATAGTAAGTCGAGTTAACATCCACACCACATATAATCACAAATATTTATTCTTGTGATGATAGCTTTTACGATCTGTGGTCTTAGCAACTTTCAAATATACAGTACAATACTAGTAGATACAGTCACCATGTTGTATATTTATTATTTTATTTCTTTTGATAGATATGGCTACCATATTACCAAAGCTTCCTATTTTATCTGCCATGATCAAGGCACCATTAAAAAATTGTTTGAAAACCTTAGAAACTACGATGGGAAGAATAATTATCCAAAAACTTGTGGCAGATTTGAAATTTCTGGCATTAGAGACCTTACAACTGGTTATGATGATAGCCAACCTGATAAAAAAGCTGTAAGTAATAACATCTTTTATTGATTAAAACTCTTCTGTATTTACCTTCCATTATACTTCAAATAGCTTAACTCCTTTAATTATGGGATTAATTGAAGCTGATTTTAGGCATTTGGGTATTATAAATAAACTATCGAAATATACAGAAGGTTAAAAATCATGCACTAGAACTAAAAGGATTGTCACTCACCATCTAAACCAATGCCACCATCTAACGCGTAGACAATCAGTGCTCAGAAGTGCAGGACCAACAGGTAGTTGGTGATAGTTGTGGTAAAATCTGGGTCTTCCTGCCTCCAGATCCAGATTTTCCTCGGTTTCCACACCTGCTCAAAACACCAAATATGGCAGCCCACTATAGTGTTTCCGAATGAGTAGATCTGGGGTAAGGGCCAAGAACTTGCATTTCCAACAAGTTCCCTGCTGATGTTACTGCTACACACTTGGAGAGCCACTGCATGCTTCCTAGTTCATTTTACCCTATTCTCTGAATGTCCAGGAGCTGTTAGCTATAAAGTATGAGTTTGCATTCTTCACATTCTGTGGATCCTCCACTGGAGTCAAAAGAACATTCAAATATGACAGAAGCGTATTGCTAAGTAATGGCAGGGGTTTGGAGAAGGAGAGTAAGAATATCCTTATTAGATATTAGACATCTTTGATAGTTCCTTTTTATTTTTTTAAATTTCCATCTGCAGGGCAGCCCTGGTGGTGCGGCGGTTTAGCGCCACCTGCAGCGCAGGGCGTGATCCTGGAGACCCGGGATCGAGTCCCACATCCGGCTCCCTGCGTGGAGCCTGCTTCTCCCTCTGCCTGTGTCTCTGCCTCTCTCTCTCTCTCTCTCTCTCTCTGTGTGTCTCTATGAATGAATAAATAAAATCTTTAAAAAAATAATAATAAATAAATTTCCATCTGCACACAATATATTTTTAAAGAGAAATATTTTTGGAAGAGTCACGGTGAAACATGGCCGCGCCAACCCCCACCATCTCTTTGCCTTGCCGGGACAGCCACCTTCCCTCTCAGTTGTCTCGCCTGGCATTTTACCACCAGATTTCAAATTGTATGCTCATACGGTGATGCTTGGGCTTCTCAGTGTTGGACTTTATTCCTTTTCCATTATGGAGATAAGGATTTAAATCTGACATTTCTGGGACACCTGGGTGGCACTCAGCAGTTGAGGGTCTACCTTCAGCCCAGGGCATGATCCTGGAGTACAGGGATCGAGTCCCATATCAGGCTCCCAGCGTGGAGCCTGCTTCTCCCTCTGCCTGTGTTTCTGCCTCTCTCTCTGTGTGTCTCTCATGAATAAATAAATAAAATCTTTAAAAAATAAAATCTGACATTTCTTACATTCACTCTTCCCCCTTCTCCCCTATCTTCCCAAACACTTAGGCCACAACACTTGGTGAATTCAGATTCTGTGCTTGTATTATTATGACTACTTAGCTAAGTAGTCTACTTTGGGTCTTGTAAAGACCAAAATTGTAGAATTATTTCTTCTAAAATTAATAGTTGTTCTGTTCTTTCATTTTCTTGGATTTTTATATAACAATCCCCAGTCTTCCCACATCCTTCAGATGTCTCTCAGTAGGCTTTTTATGGTCCGATGCAATTTTATCAGTTCTGTTTTATTTCCAACCAGCTCCCTCCCAGTCCTTCCATCCAGACAGAGCCAGCTCCTCTCTGTGTTGGGTAAACACATGTCATCCTGGGAATGCCCTTCACCACTTGTGGGGTGGGGTCCTTTGCTTCTGGACCCCATGACATCCTCTTGCTGTACTTATTTTCCTAAATCACCTCTTCTTTTTTTTTTTAAGATTTTATTATTTTTTATTCATGAGAGACACAGAGAGAGAGGCAGAGACACAGGCAGAGGGAGAAGCAGGCTCCATGCAGGGAGCCTGTTGTGGGACTCGATCCCGAGTCCCCAGGATCACGCCCTGGGCTGAAGCCAGATGCTTAACCACTGAGCCACCCAGGCGTCCCCCTAAATCACCTCTTCTAGTAGCTTCCTAAAAACAAGTGAATAGGAGGTCAATTTTTGGAGACATTGAAGTCTGCAAATGTCTTAATTCTACCCTCACACTTGATTGACTCACAGTTAAGCAGTGCTCCACTGTTACGGAGTTTCCAGTATTGCTGGTGAGGGTCTGATCTTTCATTCAGTCAGGAAATAGCCGAGGCCTACTGTGTGCCACCTAAAGGGATGTTGATGCCGTATTTATTCAGTCCTTTCCATGCAGCTTGTTTTTTCCTCTATGAAAAGATTTCAGGAATTTTTTGCTAAACTTTTCTTCTAAAATTTCAGTGATCTGCTCTTTCAGCCATTCTGGACAGTTGGTGGGTCTTTGGTTTTTGGAGTCATTTCTTTCAGTTCTGAGAAATTTTCTTAATTTTCTTTCAAAGAAGGGGGCTGGATGGTTATTTTCCTAATATCCTCTTCCTCTGTGTTTTCTGTTCTCTCTTTCTGGCTGAGTTCTTCGTTAGATGCTGGCTCTCCAGGACTGACGCTCTGCTTTCCTTGTTTCTTCTTCCCTAATGTCCATCTGTATCTTCTTGTCCAACACTTTGGGAAATTACATCAACATTAATTTTCAGTGCTTTTATTCACTATTTGAGCTCGTATTCTCCACTTTATTAGAAATAACACCTGGGCACCAGGTGGGGCACCAGGCTGGCTCAGTTGGTAGAGCATGTGACTCTTGGTCTCGGTCGGGGTTGTGAGTTCAAGTCTCATGTTAGACATGGAACCTACTTAAAAAAATTTTTTTAAATAAAAATAACATCCTAATCTTGTTTCATGTATATAGTACTTTTTAAAAAATAATATAATGATTCAACGGTTCTGTATGTTACTTGGCTGTCATCATGATAACTGTACACTTAACCCCTTTTACCTATTTCATCCATTCCCCTACCCATCTCCCCTCTGGCAACTTACCAGTTTGTTTTCTATATGAAGAGTCTGTATTTTCTGTTGTTGTTTGTCTCTTTTTGTTGCTGTTATTCATTTCATTTGTCCCTTTAATTCTACATATGAGTGAAATTATACGAGACTTGTATTTCTCTGTATTTTCTTAAATTTAAATTCAATGAAGTAACATATAATGTATTATTGGTTTCAGAGGTAGAGGTCAGTGATTTATCAATCTTATATAATGCCCAGTGCTCATTACATCACGTGTCCTCCTTCATGTCTATCACCAGTTACCCCGTCCCCCTACTCACCTTCCTTTCAATGTCTCTCAGTTTGTTTCCTATGATTAAGAGTCTCTAATGGTTTGTCTCCCTCTCTGATTGCGTCGTCTTATTTTTCCCTCTCTTCCCTATGATCCTCTGTTTTGTTTCTTAAATTCTACATATGAGTAAGATCATATGATAATTGTCTTTCTCTGATTGACTTATTTTGCTAAGCATAATACCCTCTAGTTCCATCCAGATCGTTACAAATGGCAAGGCTTCAGTTTTTTGATGGCTGAGTGGTATTCCTGTGTGTGTGTGTGTGTGTGTGTGTGTGTGTGTGTGTCCATGTCTCCATTCATCTGTCAATGGACATCTCTACTCTTTCCACAGTTTGGCTATTGTGGACATGGCTGCTATAAACATTGGGGTGCAGGTGCCTCTTCAGATCACTACATTTATATCTTTGGGATAGATACCTAGTAAGTGGTGCAGTTGCTGGGTCGAAGGGTAGCTCTATTTTCAACTCTTTGGGGAACCTCCATACTGTTTTCCAGAGTGGCTGCACCAGCTTGCATTCCCAGGAACAATGTAAAAGGGTTCCCCTTTCTCCACATCCTCACCAACATCTGTCATTTCCTGACTTATTAACTTTAGCCACTCTGACTGGTGTGAGCTGGTATCTCATTGTGCTTTTGATTTATATTTCCCTGATGCTGAGTGATGTTGAGCATTTTTTCATGTGTCTGTTGGCCGTTTGTTTTGTCGTCTTTGGAGAAATGTCTGTTCATGTCTTCTGCCCATTTCTTGACTGGATTATTTATTCTTTAGGTGCTGAGTTTGATGGGTTCTTTATAGATTTTTGGATACTAGCCCTTTATCTGATAAGACATTTTGAATTCTGTCCGTTGTCTTTTGGTTTTGTTGACTGTTTCCTTTGCTGTGCAAAAGCTTTTTATCTTGATGAAGTCCTGATAGTTCATTTTTGCCTTTGTTTCCCTAGCCTTTGGAGATGTGTCAAGCAAGAAATTGTTGCAATTGAGGTTACAGAGGTTGCTGCCTGTGTTATCCTCTCGGATTTTGATGGATTCCTGTCTTACATTTAGGTGTTTCATCCGTCTTGAGTCTATTTTTGTGTATGGTATAAGGAAATAGTCGAATTTCATTCTTCTTCATGTGGCTGGACAATTTTCCCAGCACCTTTTGTTGAAGAGACTGTCTTTTTTCCATTGGATATTCTTTCCTGCTTTGTCGAATATTAGTTGACCATAGAGTTGAGGGTCCATTTCTGGGTTCTCTCTTCTGTTCCATTGATTTGTGTGTGTGTGTTTGTGACAGTACCATGCCATCTTGATGATTACAGCTTTGTAATAGAGCTTGAAGTCTGGGAGTGTGATGCTTTGGTTTTCTTTTTTAACATTCTTTTGGCTACATAGAATCTTTCTGGTTCCATATAAATTTTGGATTATTTGTTTCAGCCCTGTGAAAAAAGTTCGTGGTATTTTGATAGGAATTGCATTGAATGTGTTGATTGCTCTGGGTAGCATAGACATTGTAACAATATTTATTCTTCTAATCCATAAGCATGAAACATTTTTCCATTTCTTTGTGTCTTCCTCAATTTCTTTCATGAGTATTCTGTAGTTTTCTGAGTACAGATCATTTGCCTCTTTGGTTAGGTTGATTCCTAGGTATCTTACGGGTTTTAGTCCAGTTGTAAATAGAATCAAATATTTAATTTCTTTCTTCTGTCTCATTGTTAGTGTATAGAAATGCTACTGATTTCTGTGCATTGATTTTATATCCTGCCACTTTGCTGAATTCCTGTATGAATTCTAGCAATTTTGGGTTTTCCACATAGTATATCATGTCATCATCAAAGAATGAAAGTTTGACTTCTTTGGTCTGTCTTTATTCACTTAACATTATACTCTCAAAAAACCAAAAAACGAAAAACAAAAAACTTTATACCTTCTGTGTTGTCCATCTGTGTTGTTGCAAATGCTAAGATTTCCTTTTTTTTTCCTCTAAGTAATCTCTATGCCCAACATGGGGTTCAAACTCATGACCCTGAGATCAAGAGTCACATGCTTTACTGTCTGAGCCAGCCAGGCACCCCAAAATCTCATTCTTTTCAATTACTGGGTAATATCCCATGATAGATAGATAGATAGATAGATAGATAGATAGATAAATAGATGATAGATTGATCTAGCTATATATGTATATATCACACCTTCTTTACCCATTCATCTTTCAGTGGACACTTGGGCTGCTTCCATATCTTGGCTGTTATGAATAACCATAGGGGTACATATATCTTTTTAATTAGCGCTTTCATTTTCTTTGGGTAAATACCCAGTAGTGGAATCACTGGATCATATGGTAGTTCTATTTTTAATTTTTTGAGGAACCTCCATATTGTTTTCCATAGTGGCTGCACCAGTGTACATTCCCACCAAGAATTCACAAGTGTTCCTTTTTCTCCACATCTTTGACAACAATTGTTATTTCTTGTCATTTTTAATGTAGCCATTCTGACAGGTGTAAGGTGCCATCTCATTGTAGTTTTGAATTTGCATTTTCTGGATAATGAGTGATATTGAGCATTTTTCATGTGTCTGTTAACCATCTTTATGTCTTCTTTGGAAAAATGTCTATTTGGGTCCTCTGCCCATTTTTAATTAGTTTAGTTTTTTGGTGTTGAGTTGTCTAAGTTCTTTATATATGTTGGATATTAACCCCTTATCAGGTATATTATTTGCAAATAGGTTGCCTTTTGTTTGTTGATGGTTTCCTTTGCTGTGCAAAAGCCTCTTATTTTGGTGTACTCCCAGTAGTTTTATTCTGCTCACGTATGTATTTTATCTCTCAAGAATAGTCATTATAGGGGTGCCTGGGTGGCAGAGTCTGTTAAGACTTTAAGTCAACTCTTGGTTTGGGCTCGGGTCATAATCTCAGGGTTGTGGGATTGGGCCCTGCCTCACGCTTTGCTCTCAGTGAGGAGTCAGTTTAGGTTTCTCTTTCATTTTCCTCTGTCCGTTCTCCCTGTGTTCATTCTCTCTCTCTCTCTCTCTCTCTCTCTCTCTCTCAATAAATAAATAAATAAATAAATAAATAAATAGATATTTCCTTAAAATAGGCATGATAACTTTTTAAAATGTAGACATTTTTCTGTATTGCCTTTATATCCTCCAAATATCCTTTTTTTCTAAACCCAGTATATTTGTTGGACATTTATTTTCTTGCATATACAGGGAAAAACTGTTATTTAAGCCAGAACAGTTTATGTTACAATTTAAATTTATAACATGTGTAAATTAATTCCTAGGTTCTCCCTACTAGCAAAAGCAGCCAAATGATCACCTTTACCTTTGCTAATGGGGGTGTGGCGACCATGCGGACCAGTGGGACGGAGCCCAAAATCAAGTACTATTCAGAACTGTGTGCACCCCCTGGAAATAGGTATGAAACGGTGGCAGCACTTGTGATTGTTATTCCCTAAAGCTTCTAATTGGTTCTTTGCAAATGCTAAGTAAAACACTTTATCTTTCCTGCATGTACTTTAATTAGGAATATTGTTTCAGAACCTGCAGCAATATTGTGATGTTAACAGCTGAGTAAAGCATCTAGGCACAGGAGAGCTGATTTCCTACTTACTTATTCTGTCCTGCCTTTCTTTGTAGGGAAAAATTTCATTCTGAATTTCAGTAATAGTAATACAGTTTCCTTTTTCTAGTAATTTTATTTGAAACTAGTATGAATGAGTTTTCTTCTTTTCCTTCCTGTCTCTGATATAATAAATTAAAATCCATTGCACCTGCACTGAACAGATATCTTTGAGCACCTACTGTGCATAGGTCTGTGCTGGGTTCTGGAAATTATCGATAAAGTACCATAGCAGAAAGAGGCCTTGCCAACAAAGAGCTGATGGTTTGATAGATTTAGAGTCACATTTTTGTGACCTTGGTAAAGGGCTTTAGTTCACTTTGCAGTACCAAAACACCTTAAACTTTAACAACCACGGTACATGTAGTTAGCATGCGTAAATGTGATGATGCACACCCCTTGAGCCCTCAGTAACTAGCACTCCTCTATTCAGAGTAAAAAAAATCAGAAAAAAATGTTTTTAAAGGTCAATTAAGTCAGTACTGTCCAATAAAAATAAAACGTGGGGGCAGCCCAGGTGACTCAGTGGTTTAGCGCCACCTTCAGTCAAGGTCATGATCCTGGAGACCCGGATCGAGTCCCATGTCTGGCTTCCTGCGTGAAGCCTGCTTCTCCCTCTGCCTGTGTCTCTCTGCCTCTGTCTCTCTCTCTCTGTGAATGAATGAATAAATAAAATCTTAAAATAAAATAAAATAAATAAATGTGAGGGGTGCCTGGCTGGCTCAGTTAGAAGAACATGTGACTCTTGATCTCAAGGTCATGAGTTTGAGCCCCACATTGGTTGTAGAGATCACTTAAATAATTTTTTTTTTTTTTTTGAAAAGACGGGTGCCTGGGTGGCTCAGTTAAATGAACTTCTGACTCAGTTTTCAACTCCGGTCATGATCTCAAGATCTCATAGTCTGACTCCTTGCTCAGTGCAGAGTCTGCTTGTCCCTCTTGCTCCACCTCTGCTCCTTCCCCCCAACACACACACACACACACACACACACACACACACAAACACATGCACACATGCATGCACTCTCTTTCAAATACATAAAATCTTAAAAAAAAAAAAGGAATTAATGGACACTATAAAAAAAGAGAAAATGTGAGCCTCATAATGCAATTTGAAATTTCTACTAGATACATTTTTCAATAGTGAAAAAACATGTAAAATTAATTTAGTGATTTATTCTACTTGTTTTAATATGTGAGAATATTGTTATACCATTTATATAAAAATTATTGAGATAGTTTATTGTTTTCACACTATCTTCAAAATCCATTTAGGACTTTATACTTACCACATATCTCGATTAAAATGCTAGATTTTTTAGAAGTACTTGTTCCATACACTTGACCCTTGAACAACATGAACTTGAACTGTGCAGGTCCACTTATATATGGATTTTCTTTTTGATAAATACAGTATAATACTATAAATATATTTTCTCTTCCTTATTTTCTTAATAACATTTTCTTTATCATAAGAATGCAGTGTATGATACGAATAGAAGGCTTTTAATAGCTAACTATCCGGGAAATCAAGAGTTATTACATGGATTTTTGACTGTATGGGAGGGTTGCTAACTCCCTAACCTTCATGCCATTGAAGGGTCAAATATATTACAATTTCAAAAACTTTACAGTTGAAAAAAATAGATTTTGATACCTAAATTGTTCAAACATACATAAATTTTCCAATAACTGAATTAAATATCAGTTTTTTAATTTGAATTTCAATGAATTAAACTTAAATGACGTTAACCATTCAGTTCCTGGGTCACACTAGCCACATATCCAGCTCTCAACACTGTAGTGGAGAGGATACCTCTAAGCAGTTGTTAGAACATTTACAAATCAAAGCTTTGCTCCTTGAAAAGTTGTTCTGGTCTGGGGAACTAAATTTGCACCCTGTGGAAATAAAAGCAGAGGAAATTTTCTGAGCATATTCAATTGGCCAGCCAGTAGCAGATTAAATGTAGCGAATAAGAGAGGCGAGGACAGAATTGTTAGCGTATGCTTTCCTTGGGCAGGAAGAAATGACTGCTGTTAGCAAGGTAAAAAATACTAAAACAAAACAGAACTATGAAACAGAGATACAGGAACTCATAATGTTCACTGTTTTATCATAAGGGAGATAAGCATTCCGCATCCACGTGGGCCTTGCATTTTCTGAATAAGAGCCCCACTCCACCAAAGTCATGATTATGGCTTTGCAATTCCACAGCAGTCAAATATATTTAAGAAGTCATAGACTGTGTCCTATATTTTGCTGCAGATTCCCGTTCAAAACCTTTTGGTGTTGCAGGAGCAAAAACTCAGCTAGTAAGCAACTCGAGCAAACACATAAAGCACCTCATTTTCTAAGCATTCTGGATTACCAAGATTTTATTGTAATATTGTGCAAGTATCAGTGTTTCCCTGTGTGTTACATAGTAAGCTGTTTGCTACTCTTGAGAATGGGGTTTTCCATAGACATGTCTTTGTAACTCTCATTCTCATTTAATATTTTCATATTTCTAGGCCTCTTTCTTTTGAAAACAAAGGGACAATAATCCAACTTAAAGATCCCCCCCCCCCGATTTGTCCCTTCCTTGTCATTACTCTGTGAAAAAACATTCAGACTTTATAATAACAATATTCTTTAATGTTTGAGGATCTAGTGTTTTACACTTTTCACATGGATTATTGGTGGCCTTAAATTCAAATATTAGCTTACAAATTCCTAGAAATATTTTGAAAAATTATCCTTTTATTATTCATCGAAACACTACTCCAGTTTATGAATTGGGACTTGGGCACTAGGTCAGTCCATGGAAATGCTGTCAGGACTCAAGCAGGTCACCAGCCTACCTAATATAAAACAGCAATAAAGCCATGGCTAAGTTTCTTTATTTTCTGATCACTTTAATACTATTACTGTGTTTTATATCATCATTATTCATAGAATTCCATGACCTACTCATCCTTTAGAACAGAAAATACTTTTTTTTTAAGATTTTATTTATTTATTCATGAGAGACACAGAGAGGCAGAGACATAGGCAGAGGGATAAGCAGGCTCCCTGAGGGGAGCCTAAAGCAGGACTAGATCCAAGACCTGAGCAGAAGACGGACACTCAACCACTGAGCCTCCCAGGTGCCCAGAAAATGCTTTTCAAATTTTAGTCCTGCTTTTAAAAAATATTTTTTGTTTGGTAGATATCCAACTTTTGATTTTGGAAAATTTCAGCGAATACCCACATACCTCTCACTTAGACCAAGGGTTGGCAAACTTTTTTTGTAAAGAGCCAGATAGTAAATATTTTAAGAGTTTGTAAGCCATATGGTCACAACTACTCACCTCTGCTGTTGCTCAAAAGCAGAAAGAAATCTTACACATCTGTGTTCCAATAAATCTTTATTTACAAAAATGGGCATTCAACAGGCTGCCAGCCATAGTAGCCTACTTTAACTTAGACTGAACAATTGATAACATTTTGCAATATTTGCTGTCGCCTACCATATATTGTATATGTAGGTTTGTTTTTATTTTTCCTGAGTCACCTGAAAATAAGTTGCAGACATCAATACACAATTCCCAAGAACAAGAATACTCTATCACTATCTCAGGATTTAGATACCAATTCTATCAGGCAAGGTTCTAACAGAAAAAACCAATAGGAGATATATATTTATATTTGTATATTCACTGGTGAGTTTAATTTTAGCTATATTGTTAGAAAAAAAACAGTAATTATTAATTATGTGCCTTCCTGAGAAATGTTGTCTTCAAAACACATTTATGGAAAAGGAAATAATGACCTATGTGATTCATATATATTTATGAAGCGTAATTACTTTATATGTCACCAATGGGGATAAAAATAATTTTAATGAAGCTACATTTATTGAGGTTTTGGGGCCAGGTTCTGTGCTAATTGCTTTATATAATTTATCTCAATCTACACAACAACTCTCTTGAGAAAATAAAGTCGTTTATCCCAATTTTTGAAATGAGAAATCTGGGCCTTGGAGAGGCTCAGCCACTTGCCTGAGGGCATACAGCTTGTAGGAGAGCCAGAATTAATGTCTGCAATAAAATGGATTGTATAGTTGTTAGGGGAACTATTACGAAGTAAAAATGATCTTAACTAGTTACAAGAATTTCCATTTCCATTAAAATAAAGTTGCATATATTGAAGACAGTCAAAGATGAAGGAAGGAAAGTTTGAAATGAAGGATTCAGTTTTTTAAATTCAGCTTTTTGGTTTCAAGTATTCGAAACACCAGGAACCTGATGCAAGCATGAGTGGCTCCTTTTATCATTACCTCCCTTCCAGTTGTTTGCGTGTAAATGCGTGTTTTCCCTATGCTTGAAAACTTGATTTCCTTAGAGGGGGAGGGAACTAGTTCCCTAGATTTTTGTTTATACTTTAGTTGTGACCCTTTTATTCTGGAGGTAGACTAAAAAAGATGAAAGCTGGGGTGGGGGTAGGGGAATCTGAGTTGCTGGTGTGTGATTAGCAGGCCCACTAGGAGGCTCCCATTCTCTGTACTTTCTGGAAGGCCTTGCAGACCGGGCTGCTGATAGTTAGCTTCCTGTCATTTGGAGGCAAACAGGAGGCTGGAACGTTCCTATCAGATGCCATTTGTCAAAGCTTAGCAGCATTAGATGACCATGACAACTGAAGTCTTGAAAATTTTCTTTGCACTGTTAGGTACCAACATGGCAGATCTTTTAGGGAAGCTAGAGCAAAAAGTGTTTCTTAAAAATTCTTAGAAGAAATGCACAGAGATGATTTTTTAGAAACCTTGGTAGATCTTTTCAGGGAAATAATGGATATTGTTTCTTGGGGTCTTTTCATCCAAGTCAGCAGATGCATTCCCATGCTTCCCTCACTGGGGTTCTGATCTGTCTGACTTAGCCCTCCTCTTAAGGGTACGTTTCAATGTTATTTGACCAATGTGGGGAGAACTTAAAATCTGCTTTGGAATAATCCACTGATCTGGGATTTTCCTCCTTATTTTCCAGTGATCCTGAGCAGCTGAAGAAAGAACTAAATGAACTAGTCAGTGCTATTGAAGAACATTTTTTCCAGCCACAAAAGTACAACCTGCAACCGAAGGCAGAGTAAAATATTCTAGCCTTGGGCATAATTACAGTTAAGCTGAACTTCATTCATTCAGTAATGTGTTTGAGGAACAAGTGACTTGAACAATCACTACAAGCATTTATGCATTTTTAATAGACCTACATTCTTCATTCTATTGTTGACCTTTAAGGTGAATAAAGAAAAGATGGACAAACCTAACAAACCAACATTTCCTTTTACACGGTTGAGCCTGGGCATTATCTGAATTAAAAAATAAAGATTTTTAAAATAGCTAACTCAAAAATATATTGTAATTAGTATGCTTTAATCAGAATAAATCATGAATATGTCTCCTCCATAATTATTTTTATGAATAATTGAAACTACCAGAAAGCCTATACAATTACTAAATTATGGGCTGTCATATTATGGGATAGCCACTTTTTAGATATGTGTATATTTACCTTTCTGTCAGCTGCTTATAAGATAAAATTATATAAACAAACAAATGTCATATTCATGTTTAGGGAGACTAAAGTGGAGGAATTTACAAGAACCTCTAAAATGGAGCAAAAGATACTTTAAAAAGATACATTTCTTTGACCTAAAACTTTTTAGTTCTAATAATATATCATTATGCATCATATATGTGCTAGGAAAAAACAGCCTGACCATCTTTGTGCAGTACATTAACATTCATTTTATCTCTAAATCTTGAATTTTAAAAATTGGTTACTTGAAACTACAAAGTATTTTATTGTACAGTTGTTTGCTTTGGTACAAGTTCATGTAATTTTTGGTACTGAGGCAGCAAGGACTATTAAGTATTAACTATTTAGCTGATTTGGGGTTTTTTTGCCTTGTTCATATGTGATTAAAATCTAAAACCATTAGATTTCATTTTCCAGTTTTGTATTTGACCTGTGCCTCCTACCCTCCTCATAATCAGTGGCCTTTAAAACCATCTAAAATGACTCCCTTTGAGTACCCATGACTCAGGACCATGCTGTTCTTTATATACTTTATGTCTTTTTCTGGTTTTTCTATTTTTAAAGTAAATGATTGCCCATTATTACTATTATTAACCTAAATGGTTGCCAACAGTTTCAAAACAATGAAAAATTACAATCTGATTGGCAATCATTTTTTTAAAGTAAAAAGGAAAGAGGTTTTTATATCTTAGTGATATATAGTTCCTGCCCTTTCAGAACCCTTAAATCTACAATATTCGATATATTTTGTCAGCTGCTTCATTAGAGAAGCTGTGTATGTATTTTTGTTTTATGATGTTTTCTAGTCTCAAACTCTAGAAATAAGAAATGTCAGATCTGTATCTTCTCAGCAGATTTTGGAGCATATAAACTATATCCCAGTTTGTTACTAGATACGCGACGGTGGAGACTCACCCTGCTGTGATGATGCTTACAGTCTAACTGGAGGGCTAGTGAGTAACTGTATTGCTTACAGATTGTCTAATGGAGTTACTTGCAAAGCACTGAGGGTTCAGAAGTATGAGAGAGGGATCCATTCTGCCCAGAGGAAGACTCACGGAAGAGAGATGAATGCTGCTTTGCCTTTGGGAGTGAGTAGCAGCTGAGGATGAAGAAGGGAGGATTCCAGGCATAGAGCACAGCACCAACAAAAGTACAGAGGTGCTGGAAAATGTGTGTGGATTTTGAGGAGGAGGGCATGCTAAAAACACACCCCAGGTATAAACTTCAGGACATACCCATGCTTCTCTGCCACTCGCATTAGCTGGTGATTCAGTTGAACCTGAAGGAGATCCCCCAACTCTATTTCTCACTTGTACTTCCAAGAAATAGGACACCATATGTGCTCACTGAATATTTCGTGAGTTTGGGACGCCTGGGTGGCTCAACCATTGGGCGTCTACCTTAGGCTCAGGGCGTGATCCCGGGGTCCTGGGATTGAGTCCTGCATCCGGCTCCCTACAGGGAGCTTGCTTCTCCCTCTGCTATATTTCTGTCTCCCTCTGTGTCTCTCATGAATAAATAAATAAAATATTTTTAAAAATAAAATTAAAATTAAAAAATTTTTTAAAGTGAGTTTTTGTATTATGGATGGCAGGTAGGAAAATGTGTGTTGCATAAAGCTTGCAACATAAGACCCCTGAATACCAATCGTGGTGGCTGTGAAGCATCTTTGTGACCTTGATCAAGTCACTTAACCTCTCAAAGTCTAGCAGAGCCTAGAACTGCTGTAGAAATATCCTATGTCCCCCTCGCACCCCCACTCCTCTGACGTAAGTAGCCTCTCCTGTTATCAACATCCCCATCAGGGTGGTATATTTGTTATAACCAATGAAACTACATTGATATATTATCACCTGACTGTGGAGACAAAAGATCATTGTTTGCCAGGGGTTGGGGCAGGGGCACAGAGCTGTGAATAGGTGAAGCACAGAGGATTTTTAGGAAAGTAAAAATACTCTATACGGTACTATACTGGTGAGTACCTACCGTTATACATTTGTCCAAACCCATAGAACGTACAACACCAAGAGTGAGTCCTAAGGTAGACCATGGACTTTGGGTGATAATTTTGTCAGTTTTTAAATTAAGAGATTTTGCTAAATGATCTCTGAGGTCATTTCATTCTGCGAGTCTTTATGTGGAAAATACACGAAGGATGCTGTCAACAACAATAAATCATTGTCAAGGGGCACCTGGGTGGCTCAGTGGTTGAGAGTCTGCCTTTAGCTTAGGTCATGATCCCAGGGTCCTGGATCGAGTCCCACATCGGGCCCCTGCGAAGAGCCTGCTTCTCCCTCTGCCTGTGTCCCTGTCTCTGTGTCTCTCATGCATAAATAAATAAAATCTTTAAAAAAAAAATCATTGGCAAGTCTTCTTTGGCAGAATGCATAACTAGTCCTCTCACGAGACCTAACCTTGGAGGTAAGGGGAAAACACTTGGTACCAGAGGCAGCCTTGCGTTCCTATCCTGCCTGGCCTTGCAGCCTGATGGGTGTGAGCTGAAGCTCGGGACAAGTCACGCAGAACCATGTGGCCAGCGGTGCCAGGAAAGGTTTTGCAAGGGAGTAAGGTGCTGATCAGGACTGAGCACCGTCAGTTTCTAAGAGCTACCCCTGCTTGGGGTAGGTGGCCCCATTGGAGTGGAGAGGTGACACCGCTTTCTCTTGGTGTCCCTGAAAGAACAGATCCCGTCTGGTCTGAGAGACTGCCTCGCAGGAGGAAATGCAGGCCAACTTTGAATTTTCTTTGCGGTCTGTGGAGTAACAGCTGTTACTCTTTAAGAAAAAAATGAGAGCGACTTTCGTTCATCTCCTCCATCCCCCTCAATCATCACGCGAACATGGGAAAGTATTGTTACTTCATGACATTGCAAACTCTTGGCCTTAAAAATAAATGAATGCCTTGGGGCACCGGGCTGGCTCCATCAGCTCCATCAGAAGAGCAGGTGACTCTTGATCAGGAGGAGGTCGTGGGTTCGAGCCCCACGTTGGGTGTAGCAATTACTAAAAAGCAAACAACCAAAAACACAACAAGTGAACTTTCAAAAGATCCATAAATAAAGATAAATGCTTTCAGTGATGGAACAAATGCGTATGTCCTACTTTGGAGGGACTTTGAAAGGATGGCATCTGCATCAGATTTCTAATTTCTACCTTCTAAAGACCGATGTGTGCGTTCATGCGCGTGTTCAGGTCCCATAGCACCGCGTGGCACCAGCCCGGTGAGCTGCGCCCGCTGTGGGCAAGCAGTTCGGTGACGGCCCCTTCTGGCCTTGTCCTTTTCGAGCCCACCAAATTCCGATCCCTGACACTGGTGTTCAAAATAATTTGGCAAAAAAAAAAATAATAATAATAAAAATAAATAAATAAAAACTAAAAATAAAAACTATTTGGCTCCGCGAGGCTCTCTGCAGGTCCTTGCTGTGCATCGAGCCTTGGTTCCATCCTGGCTCCAAGCAGATTGGGAATAACTGCAGGGGAGGGACAGCTGTCTGGAGACGTGAGGCCCTGGGGGGCATCCAGCCGGGAGCGTGGGCACCAGGATGGAGAGCAGTGCTGGGGCCCAGGTTGCTTTCTCCCTGGCTCCCCCGTGTCAGTCCTGCCAAATACACAGGAACAGAGCTCTTTCTCGGTTTCTTCCCATCGGGCCCAGTTAAAGCAGCTTAGGTGTCAGGCATCCATGTGCTGCAGGGTGCAGCTGGGCACAGGCACCAGAGAGCCAGCTCCAGGTCTAAGCGGCTCTTAGAACCACTTCAAAATAGCACTGGGAAATTTCCAGAAGGAAGTTCAGGTTGCAATTCAGAGACGATGGGCCTGATTGATTCTTAAAAAAGAAAGGGTCTGTTCAATATTTCTTTCATCATTGTGATTGTCAACATTCTCCCACATAAGACATATACTTCGGCTGCCAGTTCAGGGTTTGTTTCATCCACAAGGTCAGCCCACTCCATGGCGACTGTCCACCTCTGTTCTTTGAGGTGTCCCCTCATTAGCCCGCCCCTGGCTTGTGTGTTAACTGGTGATGCTCAAAGCAGAACAACCCTTTAATCTCATTTGAGTTATTGATGATAAAGATGATACTGATGATAGAACACAACACTGACCAAACTGTGACTTCACAGACTTCCTTCAGAATTTTTTTCTTTTTTTTTAAGGATATTATGTATTTATTCATGAGAGACACAGAGAGAGAGATAGACACATAGGCAGAGGGAGAAGCAGACTCCCTGAAGGGAGCCCGATACTGGACTTGATCCCAGGACCCCAGAACCCCGGGATCATGACCTGAGCCGAAGGCAGACGCTCAACTGCTGAGCCACCCAGGCACCCCCAGAATTTTTTTCTTTGTCTTAGTTTGTGAGATTGATTTTTGTTGCTTGCTGCACAAATGCATATTCCAGGGAAGATTTCATGGCATCACATAATTTAATAGCTTTCTGTCCAGCATCCTTTCCACCGAAGTTGCTAAATGCGTACTCTCTGAAGAGACATAGACGTAGACCTCAAATGATACCATGCTCACTTAATCTCTTGATACTTTATCAACAAAGGTCGTAGTTTCCATTCTGGTTGCACACCAGAGTACACACATCTAAAAGAAGATTATCTTATTTCCTGACTGTGGTTCCATCCACCACATCAACTCAAGCAAAGCCTTCAACATGACCTCTTTGGGAATTCTTGGACCTCATTCATGTAGCTCCCTTTATTTGTTGGTCTTCATAACTCAATACAAAAATGTAATTTTGTTTTCTAACAGGCAAGTAATCTGTTAAAAGAAATCTCTAAAGGGGCACCTAGCTGATTTCAGTTGGTAGAGCATGCAACTCTTGATCTTGCGGTCATGAG